TCTTTTGCTATTGCTAAAAGAAATGTAAGATAGTTATCTCCTATAATTGTATAATCACAGATATTACGATATTGAGTGATTACGGCCGCCCATGGACCACCAAAATACCCAGGTTCGTCGGTGCTTTGCCGAAGTTTGAGCCTTGTTTAACTCACATAACTGACGAAATGTGAAAGTAGAAACTTCTACTCGACGCTGTTCTCGAATGAGCCAAGATGTTGATGCCACTAGAGAGTGATGTTGCTTTGAAAACTGTAGATTAAGAGATGTCTGACCATGATAAAAGTGAAGCGTAAACTAAAAAGTGGCTTAGTGGATAGTGGAACTGTTTCTTAGTCCATCGGCTGTGGGTTCGAATCCTCACTACTGGAATAATATTTTCTGATGAATATAGTGCTTCTCTGGGTATTTATATAATATCTATGATCTGTATTAATTTACTGAACAAAAGTATTTTTAAGTATGTTTATCAGTTACTTGGTTACCTAAAGTACAGTCTACTCCAGGTGGAGAAGTTTCCATTCTAATAATATTTCCCTATTATCACTTATCGTTAACAAGTTAAACTTACTATACTACTCATATAAAACAATTTCCCAAGAACAATAATATGAAATTTATCCTGATATATTAGTCACTGGATAAACTAGTATCTAATGCAGGAGCGGAAACTAGTTGACATTTCAGTGACTGCACCGGAAACGAGCGGTCGTCATACCGCACTCCCAGTTCCGGTCACAACTAGGCGTTTATTGCGAATATTAATGGACCGTGCGTCTAGAACAGCACCGAAATGACTGTCTGTATGAAAATAAAGCGATAACTATGGTGATATAATTATTTAAAACTTATTAATAATTATAAAATCAAAGTTATTGGGCCTTAGGGGAAATCCGCCACTGAGAGGGTTCATTGTTAGTTCAGCCGACAGCCGATGGAGCGGACGAGTTCTTGAGTGGAGAACGCGTTTAGCCAAACCTAGTGTAGGACGATCTCAGACTAGGTAAACGGGAAAACAGATGAAATACTATATCCATCAAATTAAAACAAGTACATTTTTCTTCGAAACTTGAACTTACAACTCGTTCTGTCTGACGCCTGTTGTGCAGATGTCACGTGGAGGAGTTTCATGTGATCGATACATGGTTACTCGAACATTATGAATAAATTATGCTACAAGGACTTAACGGTGATTGCGTAGTGCTTTCGTAGTCAATGAAGCAATTTACATAACATTATTGAGCTCACTGAGTACATTGCTTAATTTCAAGTAATCCATTCTTAGTAAAATAATTGAATACAATAAAGCTGTGGCCGTGTGTGAAAACTGTGACGGAGCTTGAGTTACGTTTAGCTAAAAGAGGTGTTGAACCACCTGTATTTATTTTATACTAACGACGCGTCCCGGCATCGCACGGGTACAATGTATAATACATATGAACCTTCCTTCGAATCACTCTATCTAGTAAAAAACCGCATCAAGATCCGTTGCGTAGTTTTAAAGATCTAAGCATACATAGGGACAGACAGACAGCGGGACGACTTTGTTTTTTACCATGTAATGATGCCTTAATGGCATAAACGTTTCAAATTAATGTAAAAATTTAAAGCATGAAGAAGACTCTGATTTTATGTTTAGGTAAGTTATTGTGAATCAGACTTAAGGAATCCTTAAGGAAATTATGTTGTAACTTGATGACCCGATTTACTGCGGTAGGGCCACGCAACAGTCTTCGCTGTTGCATGAATGGGCAGTTCCATCCGGGATAGTACCACGACCTCACTGAAGACCGGCGTGAGGTAGAATTGTTATACTTCTGCGTTTCGTCTGGTGAGCGAGGTAACTGGCCCACTTAATTAAAAGTTGGCAACGCATATGCAACCCTACAGGTGTTGAAAATTTCCATGGGCGGCGGTTGTCACTTAGGTGAACCGCTAACTTGCTTGCCACCTTCTCACATAAAAAAAAGCCAGAGGATGTTTCGATCCCGACCACTAGAATTATGACCAATATTATTTCACAGCTCCTAGCCAAGAAATATCATTAAGAAGAAACTTTAGTAATTTTTATAAATATTCTAGCGTAAGCGCTAATAATAATTTACAGTGAAATTATGCTTCTTGTTAAGCTCGTGGTTAGGAAACTACAAGTGGCCTCTTGGCTTAACTCCAAGCTTTCTAGGCACGTGTTTAATAAAAATGGCTTTTATTTTTACTATTTTTAAAATACTTGGAACCTACGTCTAATGATAAAAGTTGCCAATGGTATCCTAATTCAGAATTTAGATATTCATATTTTTTCTTGACTTGGCTTACACGCCTATACCGGTTGTATTATCTGTGGGTCATCATCTTCATACTTAGAAGTTTTTTTTTAAACATTTTTTTACATTGAAATTATAATAAATTTTAATAGAAAGCGCGCTTTAATAGAAAAGAGAAAGATTTATTAATTATTTTTATGATAAAATAATATTTAGGGATTCGTATCTATAAAAATGGAAAAAAAAATCATATCCCCTTTTTACACATTTATTTTATTCTGTTTTTTTTAGTATTTTGTTGTTATAGCGGCAACAGAAAATTTTTTTTCTGCAAAAATTTTAACTGTCTAACTATCACGGTTCATAAGACAGCGTGGTGACAGACGGACAGCGGAGTTTTAGTAATAGGGTCCCGTTTAAACGTTTGGTTACGGCACACTAAAAAGAGTGTCCTCTTCCACATGCCAATGCACTATCCTTATTTGTTTCTACGTAAGGTAAATTTCAAAAATAAATCCATAATAGTGTTACTTGTAAGCCTTAATGGCGATGAAGAGAAAATTGTGACCATGCGCATGAAACTAAATTTATAACAAAAAAATAATATTTTAGAACGATAGTTATTTTTTCAGCATTTAAGGATTTTCGGCTTAAAAGGCATTTATCTATTGAAGAAAAGCTGCAGAAAAATATCATTATGGCTCAATGAGCTCAAATTAATTCATAATACGGTGTAGACCTGTCACACATTTTTACTATGAAAATTAGGTGAGTACTTGAGATGAGTGTTGCAATGTTGTTTGTACATTTAAATTTAAATTTAAATAACATTTATTATTCTCGTACCTATTTTAATTATTAAATGAAGTGATTACGTCAAATTAATCATTGAACAAAATCGTCTTTATATTTGTTTAGAATGTTAGGGAACTATGGTTGTTGAAAAGTTTTCGGAACATCGGGAATATAAAAAAGCATTATTTAATAAATAATTAAATAGTAATCCAATAGTTACAAGAAAATGTAAAACAGTGCAAAGAAGATTCGTCGAACTTTTATGTGCCCTATCAGGATTCAGGATTATAATAATATTGCTACCTCATACTAGTTTTCGGAAATAAAAGATTTAACCAGCTGTTCCATTGAGGTTTATTATATTCTTTGGTATAAGTGATTTTTAACATACGTAAATATATACAACACAGAAGTTGTTAAAGACATCCGGTCAAAGTGACTTTTCGTATTTAAGCCAATTAAAACAAGCCCAGAGCGTGTACTTGTCCAATTAACTTTTTCACAGATCAAGCTGCGACAAAAATACACCGAAATTGGGGATTTGTTTTTACCCCCTTTACAGATTTTCCATGAAATACAATACGCTACCTAACGACACTACAATAGAGTGCATTTTCAAATGAAAACTTGTATCAAAATTATTTCAAAGCTCCACATTTTGCAAAAGCCCTTTTTTGTAGTAGCTTTGTAACCCAATCCAATTTCATGAAAAGTGTTTGTTTGTATGTAAGCCACGTCATTAAAAATTCTCTTTTTTATTTAAATTTAACTTCATAACACCAATTCGCTCGACTATTCACTATGAAGATGAACTATCGGACTCTAGTTTTAGTATGATTTCACTTTAGGCCATATAGACAGTGATGGTATTTAGTATATGAATTATAGTACAAATCGTACCTAGGAATTCAATAATGTGATTTTTTTATACTTGTTTTGTTGTCTTCCAAAGTGTTCAAAAAGTAAACTATGATAAAAGCGTTCAGATAAAATGGTGTTAAACTTGTCTTCGTACAACTTCGCGATGGTAGGTTATTTATTATATTGGAAGACAATTGACTGCGTCTAAATATATCGAGAATTTTGTGACGATGCTTTTGTAGAAGCTAGCGGTGTACTAATTGAATAATTCTGAGACATTGCGTGAGAAGCGCTAATGGTAGGTTTCAAGTCAAGGGAACCATACAGAAGGCTAGGCCGTTGTCCGACTGATGGCTAAAATGACTATTCCATTTTGTACCTTATTTATAATCAATGAGGTGTAATTTTGCACGCATCGAGACCGCAAAGGCAAAAGAACTTACGCGAGGGATCGTACACAGAAATTTGGAAAAGGTAAGGTGCTTCTATTTCCGTTTCTGCCTCCGGCTATTGTTCGATGACTGCTGTGATTGCTTTTGGGGATTCTTTTTGGGTTGGCCTTAAAACAATCGCCACCGAAATGCCTTTCTATTTTTAGTATATAACAAATGTATATAACAATTGAAAGTATATAACAATTGATGCGCATATGCATTGCTTCAATGCTAAATAACTATGTAGATAAAAGACATTAAGATTTTCGTCGGTGTGGCAATCAGCCGTTTAACTTGGTGGCTAAAGCGTCAGGCCGCGAATGCCGAAGACGTGGGTTCGATTCCCACAGCGGCGACAATCTTACTTACGTTATATTCGTATAATTATGGATTTTTTAACGTTTTATATTTTTTTATGATTATTGGCAAGTAGCGTTAGACGTGTGTTAATTTATTATCGCGGTTGTAACGACATGAATACTAAATACTGATTCATGTGATATCAAAACATTCATTTATCTTAATACACGAAAGGTTTAAAGCATGAAATAACATCGCAGTTAAGTTATTTATAGACATTATCGCGGAATGCAAATGGGGCTTTGGTCTAGGTCGCGCGTAATAACAGTAAGTGGCGTAGATATTAAGGGTCGGTCGCGTGTCCGAGTAAATTTAGCGCGCCCTGGTAATCCCACAGGTTCAAGCCCATGTCCACATGCTCTGCAGCCGCTGTCGCACCGACATGCGAGCACGCATGCCGCATCGTCGCATGCCACGCCACAAGGCCGACTTATGTAGGCCGTAAAACCTCACCCACAAAGAGTGGCTGCGAATTATTCAGACCGCTTATTATGCCGCATCATGTTAATTGAACATTATTTTTCATTATTTTTTTTTCGTTTGTTACCAAATGTTAATGTTCTTTTCGGAGTCACCTTGGTTGACTACTTTTTGTGAGGTCAGCAGATGGTATAAATTTAAACTAAGGAGGAGATAACTATAAAGGTAATGAATAAGAAACTAACTCTGTAGAAATTTGAGTTAAATTTGCAATTTCTGTAAAACACTGGCGCAAACAGAAGACAACAATTGTGTATTTGTTTACAAGGCTTGATTTGATGTGCGATTGAATGCTCATAAAGTTCAACAGGACCTTATGTGAAAGGTTATCAAGAAAAATGTATCTATTAAATTCAATATTCTGTTTTTGGATCACAACACTGCCCCTATAAATTATATTAATTTTGATTGTGCTATTCTCTGCACTAAAGATGAAATTTAAAATTTGTAGAGAAATTGACGAAAATGTCTAGAGCGTCGTCTGGCGCGTATCATCGTAGAATTATTCGACTTGGGGATTTTAAAAAGTATTATTCTAATCCAAAATTAGATGCATTTTTTTTTTGGTTAAGTAAAACACTATTTATTGCCTTTCAGGAACAAGCTGCAGTGCCAACCTATTTGTTCTACTTTTGCTCTTTATGTACGAAGATTTACCATGGTCACATAATAACGAGGGCGTGAAAGCCACCCATGACCCCGTGGAGCCATAAAATGGGCGCTGGCGGGTTGTTTATGGTGTCCATTGCAATAATGAAAACACTGCGGACAGACGAAGCGGGCAATTTGTTTAGTTGCTCTATGATTGATGAAACGCGGGCTTCATGGAAACAAAGCTGATCATAGAGTCCATCCCTCTTTTAATACACGCACAGTTGAGCCCAATAACAGTAACCGTAGATCAATCAAAAAAAAAATATACATCAATCAATCAAAAAAAATACACATGAATCTTGGTGCGTGAAGCTCATATTAACAGTAATTTTAAAACTATTTATATATTTAGTAACATAATTTTTTAGAAAAAACGGACTAACAGTTTTTCGGCGATACGGGAATCGAAAACACGTCTTCCGGATTCGCACCCAAACGCTTTAACCACTAAGATTTTTTTTTTTACGTGAAGAGGTACCAAACGAGCAGACGGTTCACCTGAAGGTGAGTGAATACCGCCGCCCATGGACATCTGCTACTCCTGAGGGTTACAGATGCGTTGACAACCTTTTGAAAATTGGGTTCCGGCTACCTCACTCACCAGAAACGCGAAAGTATTTGCCATACTTCCACTTTAAGCGGTCTTCTGTGAGGTCGTGGTACTTACCCGGACGGGCCTGCCCATTCGTGCAACAGCCGAGGCTGCTGCGTGGCCCTACCACCGTATAAACGGCTGATTGCCACTCCGACGAAAATATCAACGTCTTCTATCTATATTAATGTTTTCCTATTTTTGTATCCTTTACTGCATACAAACAATTTAGATTATCGTTATAAAACGTTAATTGGAACGACAGATGTCGCCATTATATGCTATACGAAATCTAAATTTTTATATTTCTCATCTCAGCACTGAGGCTGAAACATTAAATTTTGTAGAAATTATGTTTCATCTTAAGTGCAGAGATTATATACATGCACTATAAAAATTTAGATTACATATTATTGATTAAAACTGGAAGCCCACAGAATAATTCGCGTTCGTTAGACCTTTTTTTGTTATTATGTATACTCGTATATGCTCGATCATACCAGAGTATTTGAGGAGACAAAATGCAAATAGTACTACGGCGTAACGGACTGGTTAATGCCTCATGCATACATTATATCGTTGTTTGTGTTGCTTTAGTTACTTAAGTTCCGCCTATGGGTTACTTAAATTACAAAGTATTCCTTCGTTTTACTTTACTAATTCAATATTTGAAAAACAATATATTATCAATTTGCCTAGTTTGAAGCAATTCAAAATGTGATAACGTCTAAAAAATATAACGACAACTTAATTTTTAATTTTGTTGCTAATTTCAAAACTTTACGAGGTTGAAAACATGTAGATAAAACTGTCGCATTTCTTGTCTCTCTTCTTAGATGAAACATACCGTTTATTCGCTGCCCGCTATTGATTCAGGGCGTGAAAATATTATATTCTATTTATAACAAAAACTATTTAGTTCTACTTACAAAAGCGTCTCCATTTCTTCGCCCGGTACCGAAGATACCGTAGGTAGCGCAAACCGAAGCGTGGACAGTTCCTAATGCCGGCATTTCCGAAAGCATTAACAGTGTTCACATTGGTCAGCTCGATGTCTGAAAATAAATGGAGCTCCTTTAGAATTCACCAAACGTGATACGTTACTTTAAAGTGGAATGAGGCCTGTCAATACCGTTCGTGTAACGCCGCAATTTGCCCATCCGATCGGGTGGAAGGCAGGGATGTTAACTCAATGTTTGTTTACTTATTCAATCGCTTGGTCCGTTTTAAACATCAGTTAAAGGCTCTGGAAACACGGAAATTGATCAGCCACGCTTGGAACTCCGATGAGGTATTTTGGGAAGTGTTATTTAAATTCAAGAGGGTAAACTTTCAGCAGCCCACTACTTTTATATAGCAAACAAAAGAAAAATTTAAACGACAGAGAACTGTAGAGCCATATAAGTAAGTAATCAAAGAAAAAAAATTGATAGTCATCTATAGTTTTCGAGAAAAAAACGTAATTAAATCTTGTTATTTTCACTATGAAAATCCGCCATTTTACTATTGTCAACATTTTCACATGTAAAAACCTTCCGTAAAACACTGTCTTGTCCACACTTAAAACATTCAAATTTTTTTACAAGAATTCATGACAACACAAAAAATTAAAAAGTACTGAACGATTTGATTCCGATTGGAATAAATTTTTATTAAAAAATAATACTACTACAATAATGTAGGTATATGCATATTTCATTAATATAAAATGAGCGGGAAATACTTTTGGTTATAAATTTGATATATGATTTGGCACTAAAATATTGATACAGCCAATATGCTAATATCGATTATGAAACTCGATTACAAATTTTATAAAATCTTTTTGTTAAAAGCCCTTAATGTTACCATGGTGTATTATAAACTGATTTAAACTAAATTCTTTACGTAACTCAAGCTGATGGTTTTATAAATCTATGATAATAATGGATTAAGTTACATTCAAAATAAGTCATAAATCCGACACATAGCACCCCGAATCCATGTGGTCTTGCGGTCCCTACCCCTATAGTGAACATAAAAAGGCGGAGCCAGAACCTGGCGTCGGAGGTCCTGAGTGGGTGAAGCGACGCTCAGGGGCGACATAGCGAGTGTTCTGGCGAAGCACGTGGAAGAGTCAAACTTAAGTAATAAATTTTGAATATCTCTTATATTTTTTTATTTTATTTATTAAAATTACATGCTTTTAAAATCTTTATCTCTAATCTTTTTTTGTTGTTTTATGTAAAAAAATATAAGAAATATTCAAAATTTATTACAATTGTAATCGAGTTTCGAAATCGATATTAGCATATTGGCTGTATCATTATTTTTGATGCCTCATTGTATGTCAAATTTAAAACCAAAAGTATTTCGCGCTCATTTATATTAATCAAATTGTATATACCTACATTATTGTATTAGTCATATTTTTTTATAAAAATTTATTACAATCAGAATTAAATCGTTCAGTACTTTTAATTTTTTTGTGTTATCATGAATTCTTGTAAAAAAATTTGAATATTTTAAGAGTGGACAAGACAGAGTTTTACGGAAGGTTTTTAAATGTGCAAATGTTGACAACTTACCCTGCCATTCGTGCAACAGCCGAGGCTGCTACGTGGCCCTACCACCGTAGAACTTGATTTTGTAATTCCCGACGTTTCGATACTTTCTAGCGTTCATGGCCACGGGACAGATTAAGTTGTATACGTCTTGATGCTTGGATTTAATTTTATAAATTATGGGATCCCAAGCAGATGATAAACCCCAACCATTTTCTCTATTGTAATTAGGATGTTTCTTTACTTCAATTGCCTCGCGGATCATCCTTGTAAGGAATCGGTGTTCTTTTGCGAGGATTTTCGGCTGATCTAATCTAATGTAAGTAGTGGTTGGGGCGGTCTATAATATAATAACAAACTGCAGACGTCTTCAACCGTCGTTGCTTCATGTTAGCTATGTGTTTTTTTTATTCTGGTTTTAATTGATATTTTAGTTTGTCCTATACTTATATGAGTTATGAGAGCCTACATTCGCAGTTAAGCTTGATCACCCCTGGATCTTGTAGAGGGATATTGTTCGAAACGTCGGGAATTACAAAATAAAAATTAAAACGCGATAAAATCCGTAAACAAGTTATATAGCATATACATGTATATTTATTCATTTACTCATACCTTTAAACGAAATTCTTGTATATATGCATATATATACATAATCTGAATCTCGAAAGCAGCTCCAAGGATTTTCATGAGATTTAGTATGTTTCGGGGGCGATACATCGATCTAGCAAGGTTCCATTTTTGAAAACGTCGTTTATCCGTGTTTTCAGGCAATGAAAAACTGCTATAATGTCATTAGAATACGAAGTTTTTACATTACGAATTTCGTCCCCAACTACAAGGTTATAATAGCTTAGGTGGGAAATCGGGCGATCACGTAACCAGAAGACCCCGGTTCGAATCCAGATGATTTTTAATTTTTTTATTTCTTTCCCATTTGTTTTCAAGTTAATAAAATACCGAGCAAAGCTCGTTCGTCCAGATACTTTTAATATAAAAATTATTAGGTACCGTTTATATTTATAATATCTACGATATCTAATCTAAATACGAAAAGCACAAAATTATTTTTCCCGTAGAATTCGAGTTTTTCGAATACTGGATTATTCATGCGTGATTAGTTTAAATAAATCTATTCTATGTAAAATCTACAAAATAGTTTTATTCAAACCAGTTTAGTATTCTTTTAAATAATATCTTACAATATTTTTTTTAAATAAAAGTGGTTTTTAACATCATTAGGATGGAAATTTTCGTGTATAATTATTAAGATACGTTCGCTACACAACGCGAACGTGATAACGCGTAACCAACTTCATGTTGCAAACAACTGATAAGGTCGCGGTCAAATCATTTTACGTATAATTACTTCATTAATATTTACAAGTACAGGTAATTTATTAACATTTTGCCATACCTACCTAAGCCGCCGATGTCTTGGTAGCTGTCCCGTCTCGGACTCCTCCAGTTCATTATAAGTTATCAACACTTAACACTAAATAAAACTTAAGTAAACAACTTAACGGTGACCTTTATTTACGCTACTGGATATCGATAGTGCTGCCACATTGAAGTTTGCTGATATCTACGGTTGTGTTTAATCTGTGGTGTGGAAGATAAGTGATTTACGAAATATCCAGGATTAAGAAGATTTAGCTTTACAATAATAATTTTTAAAATGCAGAATTTTATTTCTTTCCATATTTTGCTTTTTCTTTAGAAATCAAGATCATATAACCAACGTCAGAAAAAAAATTGTAGGTAAAGTTCGTAATCACTATAGAATAAAACAAAGTCGTCCCGCTGTCTGTCTATCGATATGTATGCTTAGATCTTTAAAAATACGCAACGGATCTTGATGCCGTTTTTTTTACTAGGTGGAGTGATTCAAGAGGCAGGTTTATATGTATCGGGTCGCCAGTGAACTAATAAATTGAAACCTTTAAATACCAGGCGCTTGCTTATATTTAAAAAAATGCTGCTATCTTTTATTTATTTTTAAGGACAACGGGGAAGGAGGCCTAAAATAAAAGGAGGGTTAAAGTGATCACCGCCACCCATTAACATCTGCAACACCGGTGCTTGCAAATGCGTTGCCGGCCTTTTAGGAAAGAATGTGATATCTTCTTGAATTCTGGATCGTAACGGTTTGGAAATACCGCCGGCGACAGCTGGTTGCACAGAATGGTTGTGTTAGTCCGAAAATGCCTTAAAAATCGTGCAGTTGCGAAACGCTGATTTTCGCAATTGACTAAAAGCCGTAGATCATTATTTTAATGGTTAGATACTGTATTATTTACCCTTCACATCGGCAGAACTGTTGAAAACTACACGTACGGTCCCCCGTTTTATTTTTAGAATTATGTTAAAATAAATTATGCCGGGATTGATGCCAGGTAGAAGAAGACTGCAGAAGTTTCCCCCTTTTAGAATTATGTTAAAAGATAGGTAGGTATACTGCTTACTACTGATTAGCCGGGATTGATGCCAGGTAGAAGAAGACTGCAGAAGTTTCCTGGTAGACTTTAAGGAGCCATCGTTACACAAAATTCTGTATAAATAGACATTAATAGAAAAAGTAAATGTTTTAATTACTAATCATATAATTACTTTTAATTTAGATTATTGTAATTCATTCTGTATTTTTGTTCGTTATTCTTAATTTTACTAAAATTAAATGTTGCTAAATATGTTTATATTTATTATTCTTGCTCATTCTAGTATTTAACATCATAATTTTTATGTATATCTTATTATATGTATATACTGTTGGTGTCCTCATTATATAAATAGTGACGCTATATTTAATACGCTATGTAAAAATTCTACCATAAGTTTATATAAACTCGATATAAATTGTTATTATTTTATAAATTTTTAATTTTCTCATTTTTCTTATTGTTGTTTCATATTAGCATTTTACTCATAGTTGTAATTATTATTGAGTTATCGTACACTTATCTTTTTAAACACGCTGTAACTACCTTTAAATGGAAACATGTAAATCTTAGTTCCTAAGTCTATTAAAATTAAAATATGTAGAAAAAGTGCGAAAAGATTGTCGCCGCTGTGGGAATCGTTTGAATCTATTGTCAGTTTTTATAACAAAACATGTTATTCCATTGGTGGTTCTATCAATAAATAAATAAATATTTCCTAGTCAGTAAATTTAATCTAACTCTTAAAACATGGGTAAAACAATAAGTAAACAAAGATTGAACAGATATGTGTGTAGAGATTTATTTGAATAAAGAACAGACTAAATTATACATTGTTTGATCAATGTATAATTTATCATTTTATGATCAATGTATAATTTATCATTTTATGATCAATTGTTTGACTGGTGTGCACACTAGTAGGAATGTTAAATAAAACCACACTGTGTACTGATCTAAGGCTCGATCTACCAATCTGGTATCCCAAAAATCACAGTTGAGGGGAGCTATAGCTGTTATAACTCGCTCTTAGATTGCTCTATTATTACAGAAAAGTACAACGTTGTCAATAATATTGTTAAATTTCCTCTTTGCATTCAAATAAAAGTGACTATAATAAATGTATTTTCTATGGATGGTTTGATTTTGGAACTATGTAAATGTCTATGGGCGGCAGTTATCACTGAACATCAGGTGAAGCGCCCGGTCGCTTGCCACCTTCTCATGTAAAAAAAATTCCCTTTAAGAAATATATGTCATTTACTTAAACTTATCGTTGTTAGTTATTAGCTATTTTTACATTGCCCATGCTGTAGTATAGCATTGTTCTGCTGTCGTAAGAACGTTTTATAAACATTAATTTCAAGTTAACAAACACCCAGATCCGAAGCAGTAATCCGTGGGTCATCCAAAACGGTTGCCCCTGTGAAATAAAATAGATTTCATGGAAAAAAAAAATAGGTAAAATGTGTACATAAAAACACAATAATGTTAATCACACTTTAATGCACCTGAAGTTTTAACATGTAGACTGTATCTATATCGGTCTGTAATGTTTTGTGGATTTAGCAAACAATAATTACTGTGAAAGAGTAATACAAAATAATCTGTTTATGTATTAATATTGTTATTATTAAGAAGAGGCGCTGAATCTTCAGTCTCCGATTTCTCGCTGTCACTCGTCACTAGAAAAGACATTAACATTTATAAAAATGCGTGTATTTCATAGGCGAGCAAGAAACTCAATATAATTATACCAAAAACGACGTCGTGCGTATAAACATATATTAAAAAATACTTATCGTGAAGTATACGTTGTATAGGTTATAAACGTTGAGAAGCATTGCATATTAGTGAAAATAAATTTGCATGTAGAAAGAAAATATCTTACATTGTTAAGAGTAATAAATAAAAATAAACATGATAAATAAACAAAGCAAGCACTCTAAGCTGAACTAACCTTAGCGAATAGCAGAATCCAAGCTTTATATATATTAAATACACAGATATACTCTGAAATATGCGACTGTGTAAAGTGCATCGTATATTGAAGGAAATTAAATCAGGTTCACCGAATGTAGAGATTCTTTGCGTTTAAACTTTGCCCCGAACCAAGTATGGGAATAAAACAATAGACGACAATGTACATTGCTTATATTTGACATAAAAATACACTCAACAGTATATGATACACGTCCACCTTGAGACACTACAATATAACAGATATTTACAGATCGACGACAATACCGTTCGCCTAACCGTATCTTCTAAAACCACGAATATTGTCGTCTATTGTGATTACGCTGTTAAAGTGCCGTTTGGCGTGAAAAATTCACTCTTGTCATTTCAATATGTATTATCTTATATGCATCATTATTTCGATATATCTTCGAAAATACTACGTAATACGTCTTTTTAAGTTTCATTTCTATTTATGCTTCATTTATTTTAGTGCAATTATTGTTAAGACAATATTCGAGGTCCTATTTGGATCTTGACAAACGTTTCATTAATTTCGTCGACGATCATATAATTTAACACTAAGTTTTATCTGTGACTATAATTTTTAGTCATAGACAAGTAAATCAACTGATCTTTAAAACTTCGTCGATTATCTATTTTACATGTTATGTATACACTTTGTAGATAACTAGGTAATTTAAATTATTGTGCCATTATTTTGTTTAGTTTACAATCAATAGACTAGATAGTAGGTAGCGGGTATGATTAGTCTATTAGCGCTTATATATAATAACAACACCCTATTATATCTAAGCGCTGAAAGGCCACGGAATGGGAATCCTGTGCTATCTAATTGTTAAACATCTTTTAGAATTGTTCAACATAACAAGCACCTTGCCAACTAAGGAAGGTTGTCTAAAATGAAAAGTTGTAACAAGGAAGTTAAAAAAATAATTTTACATTCGAAAGCAATAACAGATGAACTTACATGAGAGCAAGTTTCCCTAACCCCGTGGCCGCTCTAGAGATACATATATATAAAGATTATAAATACATAAATAGCAAGAAACAGCAGTTGTACGCAAACATATAGCATAGTTATGGACAGCCAACACCGTGTACTAGCTCACGCAGCTTCAAACTTTAAGACGACAACAATAGAGTCGAAGATTGTACGGCTACTGTTAGTGTGCAGAGTTATAGCTTTACTCTTTACAAATCATTGGGTGTTGACAATCTTCAAGATATTATAGAAGACTATATCTACTAAAATAGCCAACAATTATTAAGATCTAGACGTATCCGTTAGTTGAATTCAGTACTAATATATCTCTTGTATCCTAGTAGTAAATATATGAAGGAAATCTTTCTACTTTAATTAAATTTGAGCATTGTGGCTTTGTCACCGTGGCAAGTTAAGTTTAAATGTACACAGGGATTAACGGGTCTATGTACACTAAATAATACACTAACATTGAGTAATAAACTGAATTGTCATGGAATAAATCAAATGTTAAGGAGGTTTATACATGGCAAAATTCCCCTAACGAAGTTTGATACATATGCGAAGTAATAAGTAAAAATGAGGTAATCGATATACTCGAGATGGGTAAAAAGTAAGCCAAAACTGTAACTTATAATTATATTTTTAATTACATAAAATACATCACATGTGGAATCTTGAAAAACAAAAAATCTTTACTTACGTGAGAATTAAGAAATGATAACTAAGTGTATCTATTAACTCGAGATATTCAGCAAATACATGACTCGAATTCAAGCCTAAGCCAATTTGTGGCGTTCGAATAACAACCTAAAGAGCTACTAATAGGTTCCAAAATTAACAAACCTCAGTCGCAGCTTCGTGTTAACACCTACAAGCACTTCGTAACAACTCAAATGGTGTTTCTGATCTAAAACAACGAGGCGAAAGATTCTTTTCTGATCTTAAGCTAAATCTAATGTCATTCCGAGTATTACCTTAACGTTGCTATGCAAGAAGTACAGTTGGCTGTAAATTAATCTACCTTTTATTTAAAACACTGACAACAGTCACCTTTAAATTAAATATAACACACTTAGAATGCCGAAGCTAGTTTCACACGCGTGATAATTTACTACGTAAAGGAAATTCACAACAAGATATTATTTAACGCGTATAAAAGAGCAAAGTCGAAGCGATGCTAATCGGAAACCACCTTAAGCCATAAGCGACAAGTTAGTTACCGGGGAATACGGTAGCTTTAAATTCAGATGCGCCGCCAATCCTTACTTTTTTTTATTTATGAGTAGTAAAAATAGCTTAAGTTTAAATATTAAGTTAATAGTATACAATTATTTGAAGTGTTTTATTCGTTCGTAACGTATTACTTGCGGCCATTATTAAATCGATTATACTGTGGTGGCGCCATCTACAAGTTGCGTCTCTCCCGGCAAAATACTCCGGAAATGTTAGCTTTTATAGCATTGAATAAGTAGCAATTATTATGAGAATCATCTGCCGCCGTTAATAAGACATGTTGGGACTAATTTCTAAGCGTCGGTAGATTTATTGAAAATTATTCGAGCGGGTAAAGCTATTTATTGCACAAAACGTTACGGGGAGTATTGAACATATTTACGACATTTAACAGTAGCTCACAATTATAATAAGAGTTAAATACGACCTTTAGCCAGATAATATACTTTTCTCTCGCAAAGTTTACATTCCTTATAGCATACTGGTAAATTTTGACGGCAAAATCGACATACAAGACCGCGGGGTGATCCAGAACTACGGACACCGAAAAGCATAAACAATAATCGCGTCAATCAACATGTATCAGTTCGCGGGCAACGGTTTATTTATATGACAAGCCTAACGCCGTTTAGAACAGTGTCTCGGTAAACAGTACACGCGTTGTACTATTCGAGGCTCCCTAGCATACCATATGTACATTCCCGCCAACTCCATAAAGGGACACAGCCCCAACGGTAGCTCTGCCCTCTACACTCTCCCCCTCGCCCCTCTAAACGCCCCCTTCTCTCTACTCGCCCCATCTCCTCTACGCGTGAGAGGCCCTCTTGGCCAGCTTGGCTTGGCTCCGCCTCGTGGCCGTACCGTTTCGTTCGTGCGCATGGGCGCCCGCGTTTGCACCGACCACTGGCGGGTAAGGTATGCGGAAGAGCCCGATCTTGAGGTGGTCGCAAATCTCCAAGCAGATCTGGCCGCAGTACCGCATCAGGTCGACGCAGACCCATATCTGAAGAGAAGATGAGAGGCCGCATGTTTTATATGAAACGATGCACGGAGACAGCGTCCATGACTATGGACGATAACAAAGCAAAAAAAGTTTCAAAGTTTTTTTACTCCAGTGAAGCCAAACTAAAGTCAGCTTCTTCTAACATTCCATAAATGGGACAGCTCGACCTTTGTTACATTATTTTTTAAGATTTGTATGTATCCATTGTGCTTAGACCGTGAATATACGTTTTCTTTCTTTCTTTGCTTTTTTCTTCTTTACAATTTTTTTGTTGAACGTGGTATCGAAAGTGGAAGAATTGTGCATACATTTACAGTCATTGTGGTACTGGAGGCTCGTGGTCTTAAAGATTGGCAAACACAATTCCCTAGCCATGTGGAAAAGTCACCATGAATAACACTCTCACCGTGCACAGCCAGAGCACATAGTACTCGGGCAGGGCGTTGTTGAAGTACTGGTTGAGGAACAGCATCGCGGGGCCCAGCATCGACCAGTCGTAGTAATCCATCTCGCTCTTTGTCATGTGGGCCACCTGGAAACAAAACAAAAGATTCTATTTGAAGCTTGGAGGCGGTGGCATCATGGTTGCTAAAGTGGCACAAAAACTGCTGTTTTTATAACAAAATCATGACGTTTATTATTTATGAAGCGGTGTTATGGTTTAAAATATGTAGAAAATGTGCGAAAAGATTGTCGCCGCTGTGGGAATCGAACCCACGTCTTCGGCATTCGCGGCCTGACGCTCTAGCCACTGAGCTAAACGGCTCATTACCACACCGACGAAAATCTTAACGCATTCTTCTTGTCTTCAATTTGAGATGTGTCGAGGAAACGAAAGTTTACAAATCATTGCTGTATTTGCAGTGGTGGAAGCAAACCAACTCGTTACGTAAAAAGACACTTGTGCTAACAATGTTAACACACAGTGCACCAGTAAATCATTGACTAATATAAGCATTGTCCATAAACAGAAATTACATAAATACAGTACTAAATTAGATAAATCGTATTGAAAATAGCACATCACATGTTTAGCTTACGTCTGGTGACTATTATGGCAACAAAGTTATCGATGACCAGGGTTAAGTTGAACGCACTTTTATCTCATAACAACTTTCTAAGAATTACAGATGAATGAATAAGGCTGGTTTAAATTAGCCTAGATATAGAAATTCTGCGTGAACAATGTATATACCCAGTGACAGATCCAGGTTATTCACACTCCATTGTAAAAAAATAAAAACGACAATAACCATATTATCGTGTTAAATGAGACTAGGTCTGAAACAAAAATATTACCCAACAAATCAAAGACTTGACTATTTAAAAGCTTCATTGCTCCCAATAGTGGGAGGAATTATAATTTTAACTAAAATTAATGATAGGTTGATTGAATTATTGATTCTTTACACAGAGACGTGATAGCTCAGTGAATGGGCGTTCGCCTCTAATTCAATGTACTCGAGCAACCTGACTTCGACCCCTGTGCCAGTGGGCCATATATAGGCTGATACTTTACTTTCTTTTTACACCAGCACATACAATTAAATAGGTCAGCGATCGGACACTAATCACTTCGTGGTAAGAAATCACATACCACAAGTCTGTTGGTGACCTTCGCCGCGACCATGCCGAACGCCAGAATGTAGAGAGATGGGTGGTTCTCGTAGACGTGGGACTCGCTCTTCTGGAATATGATGAAGGCCGGCACCACCACGAAGGAGAACGGTATCACCGGCGACAGGATGCTGGTGCCCTGGGGAAGGAGGCGCTGTAACACGGACTCGGGTGGCTTGGGACTTAGTCCAGCGATTCCACCGATTTAAATGGTGTGTTTTGTACGTTTTATTATTTATTTATTAAGGTTTATTAACAAATTAATCAATGATTTTCATGAGAGAGCACTGATTTTATCGTTAGCTGTATTCAAATAGAAGCACTGAAAGAATATAAATTTATAGAGAATTGTGACATCTTTTAATTTTTCTACAGGTGTAACTAAAATCAGGAATTATATTTCATTACTTCACCTTTTATTTAATTTAAAGATAATACTGTCTTTACCAAGGAAAAATGCTGGACTTTGATAGTTTATACTTAGCAAACATTAAAATACCAAACATAAAACTAAATAATTACGTTTACATAACAAACACATGCAAAGAACTAAATCCATATTGATATAACGCTATCTATAGTTACACTATAAAGTTAAACAGCGTTTAATAATGGGTTAGTTAAACCAAATAAGTCAAGGCAAAAGCATAAAAAACAAATGCATAACATACCAAAGCTGCCAAACCTCAGTATTATGTGCTTTCCTAAGATATAAGCAATAAGATACAGAAAACGAGGTTATATCTAGACACATAGAACAGAAAACGAAAAGTGTCAACACTGAGGCGAAAAGCGAGCGTGGTTTGACATAAACATTAACATGACAAAATTGTCGAAAACGAGGTAAGAGCTCAGCTCAGATGTAAAATACAAATAAATATTCGATTAAGTTTTTACGATTACAGCAGGAATATTTAATTAGGTAGTTATTTTTAAATCTATATTTTTAAATCTTAATTAGTATCTCGTTTATCACCTATGTATACTATAAGAAAACAACTAGCGATAGTTGATATCGTCACGGTTTTGGATGAAAAGGATCTTAAAATGATATATTTTCAGACTTCAAAGGTATTCACGCTTAGATCAAATCACCCTCGCTTGGTATAGGAATTTGAAAATGACGAGGCGTAGCAGGCACAATGATCAGATAATTCACTCTTAGCAATTATAACACTGTGAACGAGACGTCATAACACTAAACGCTAGGCATTTTTGCAAACTCAAATCTAACGGTGACTAGCGAATGCTTTTTTGAACGTTAAACCGTGTAATAAGAAAGTTTAGATGAGTATTCTACCATTGTTGTTTGGAGGAAAAACTAACTATTTATAGTGACTAAAATTATTTAGTTACTGAATCCCGTATTTATAATCTGCTAATAGAAATACTCTAATGACCTTTATTAGGAGGTTCAGACCGCGTTCCCTCCACTTTATTCAGAACAATGAATTGAGATTTTCGATTTAAATATAAGGGGGAGTTATTTTAGGAAGGTATAGGTAGAGGTGCTCGATTCCTAAAAAAATATCTAATACTATTAAAGTGTCTTCATTACCTTGTGAAATTGATTATGAACCATAAATAGATACTACAAATTTAATACATGCTCAATCCTCAAGTTGTGTGCTTTTCAATTTATATTATTCCTTCTCACCCAACAAGCCAACTTTAGTCATGCTAAATAGGGCTCAGAATTAATTCGATATAAAGTGTTTATTGAAAGAACATGTTCGTCTGTGTGCTATCGTTGTTAGGTAAAGAGTGTTAATTGTCGTGTTAAATAATATATCGAATGTTACAGGGATCTCTCGTTCATGTTACAGTTTGTATACAGAGACATTTGTTGGGGTGCAACCATTTGGACATCACACGTTATGCGAGACATATTATCCATGGTGCGGGACAAGCACATTTCATATAAACTTGTGATCTCTTACTGCGACCGTGGAGCCGTTCTTCCCCACACCGCCCCTCATAATGACCTTAACGTAGCCGAATACGAGGGAGAGGTTCATGAGGACGACGGCATAGTTCGACATCAGGCTTATACTGGTCCCGATTGTCGGTAGCTGCGGTTGGCGCGTTTATGTGTAATGATGTTTGTTCACATGGCCGCATGTGGATGTGTGCGCATGTTTGGCGGCATGCGGTTACGTTCGTGGCGTCGGCGCGTGGTCGAGCGGCGGCGACGACGGAAAAAAAAGAGAAATAAAAACATGCCATTAATACCAATGGATTTGCAAAGTCAAAACACAAACGGAGAAATGTGCGCTATCTTCACTCATTGGTTTGTTGGTTATCAAGTTTTGTGTTTAAATGGAAACTCGCGAAAAGCTGTTTAAACTTAAGGGCAAATGTTCCTTAACTCGAAGTGATGTCAACACTGAAAACTGATATATAATAAATATGTAGTGTGCTTGACGAGTGTACAATATGTACGATGAAAAAAATAAAATAGAAATCAATAATTCTGTAAGCCGATGCTGCTTCTGTGGCGCGTGCTAAAGAAGGCGACCGTAACCAAAAGAAAAATCAAATAAAAAAATCAATCAAGGGCGAATACGCATTGTAAGCGTGATTCGAAAAATAAACATTGTACCAGAGTTAATCACAGCCCAAACCAATGCTTCGTTCAATAAGAGAAAACGTTCAGTCATTCCCAGCGAACCAGAATTATTGAGAATTTTAAGTATAATGCAACAAAATAAGGATTCATTATTCATAATTCATAGCTTTAGTCCAAGGCCAGATAACATTGCATTCAGCGCATTCAAGGCACGCATCTGAGGACGCGGCGGACGCCACGGGCGTTTAGGACCGAACGTTTTCCACCGTTTTGAAGGGAGCACGCGGGAGCGAGGGGGGCGTGTGGTGTGGTGGGGCAGGGCTGGGCTTACGGCAACCGTGGATCCATTCTTCCCGCAGCCCCCCACGCGGAAGGTGGTCGCGAAGTTGGCGACAAACAGCAGCTGAGTGGCGTACGACAGCGCGCACGCGTGCATTTTCATCGGCAACAGGAGGCCGGGCATCTGTGCGTTCCCCCGCCTCGTGCGTCAGTGGCGGTTCAACCGTGGCCGACGTGGGTCTTATTTAATCTGTGGCCGACTTGGCTTACGTGACCATCGGTGCACCAGTTGCTTTATTAGCGACTATCCGCCCAAAAAGTGATCGTACTTCTCTGAATTTAGTTTGAAAATTTTTAATTCGTTAATTGTTTCGGAAAACTTGGTATATAATATATGCGACTGAATTTTGTACGCAAGATCGTAGAACATCTTCGTTATTTTGTTTGGTTCCATTCCCTTTGGTTCCATGCAAACATAATAGTACGGTACGTTGACCATACAATCAGATCCGAACACCAAACAACATCAACAAATTGCAATTATAATTTTTGGAAGATATGATGGTATTAAAATAGTGGAATGTAATTTTAAACGACTAAAAAGTGATATTTGTAATAAAATCTTTGGAATTTGTCGGCAAACAACATAACATATTTGATTTGTTTTCGTAATGGTTAAAATTCTGTACCAGAGAATTGCATATCTTACAAAATACAATATACAATATACAGCGTGTCGTTACAACCGCGACAATAAATGAACACACGTCTAAAGCTACTTGCCAATAAGCATAAAAAATATAAAACGTTAAAAAAATCCATAATTAAAAAAAATATTTTTCAAACAAACTAATTAAATAAAAAAGAAACCAAATTTGTAACATCCTATACAACTACAACTGATTAATTCATACATTCAGACACACTTTCATTGGCTCCCGCAGCGTCGCAATACAAATCTCTCCTTCTAACAGTATGTTTGTATGTGTTGCTTTGTGACCTTTACAAATGAACTTTACCTTACAGTTTTATACGTAAGGATCGTTTAAAATCGATTGTTTTGGAAAATTTTATAACTCGGTAAATATTTATGTTTAAGGAATGTAAATGATTAATACAGTTTTAATAAGTTATCCTCTAAATGTGTATTGATTTATGGTCGCGTTAGAAGCGACACGCTGTATAAATGTACATCAACTTTTCAAGTGTTTGTTACAATTTGACGAAAATTAGTATTTAAGACACAATTCATTGAAAACGCTTCTTTAATATAGATTGCCATCGTGTCTTCTCCTTTAGGCATTTCTTACGAGAAAACGTGAAGTTCATTTATTGAACCAGGAAGGCATTGTAATGGCATTAACTGTTTTTAATTCACGATCTCTATAAAGATAAATATATCAAGCTAATTGCATTTTACAATACGCGTATCTGTAATCTACTTATCACAATAAAATTAGATTAAAACCCAATTAACAAATCACTTATGAAGGAAATCATAAAATTGTACGTTACTTAGATAACAAAGTAAATGAACGCAAAACGAGCTAGTGAATGACATCCGAATGAGTGAAGACCCACATGATTTACCCTAATAGACGACGGTACATTAATATCGAAATTTCAAAAAAGAAAACTTTATAAAGTACTTAGTTTCAATAATAATAAAATGCAAATGTAGACCATGCTCAAAGTTACACGTAAACATAACACAGATACTGTCGCTAATATTAGGACTAGAGTTAGGATGGTCTTGTCTTAGAAATTTAAAATATTAACAGTTTAAAAATAATTTCGAAAAAGTGTAATTAAAAATGAAGCTAACTAGTAGTAGTAGAAAATAAAATGACAATAACTCTGAGCATAACCCACGGAGCCAATAGGATCGAACTAGTAGACATGCTATTAAAAAAACCCACATGATAAAAAACGATTAATAAGCGACGAGAGCAAAATACCTCACATAGACTGACAGCTAAATAAAATACTTTCTTACAGATCACACACGGCGGATACTACTAGGTAATTATTTAAAAATCTATAACAACAAGGGGCGATGAAGTTGGGGGCGCGGGGATCACTATATCTGAGGTCAATCAATCTCTTTGATTAATCAAAATTACCTCAAGCTAGTAATAAAGTGGGAAGGGTCGCTTTAGTATTTATAAAAAGACAATGCAGGCACTGATAAATAGAAAACGAAATTTTATTCAATAAAAAAAGAACATTGTAATGTGTAAAAATTCTTAACATTTTAAGTTTTATCTATTGGTATTCATTGATATTTGTGTATATTTATTAGGTGATACCAGGCTAAGAATCGCGTTCAAGAAATTCATGGCCTTTGTAGACACTAAGAGCGAAAACGGCAGCACGGTGCTTGAACTCGCAGAAAACGAAAATGGATTTGAATTACAACGTAAAGAAATGAACCCACTGAAATATTCAATGAAGTAAGATGGACCGCGAACGGAGATGATGGCTGATGATGTAATGTCGCTCAACGTCGCGTTGATTATCAACCGTCGTCCAGGGGATATGAGCGAGGTGCCATCATAAGAGGCCCGCGTTACGTGCATGTGACCGATGGGCATCGCGAGCCCCGAGCCCGTGACCCCCAGCCCCCAGCTTGCGTCATAGTGGCGCGCTCACTGCGACCGTGGAGCCATTCTTGCCGACGCCGCCAGCTACAATGGTGGCAGCGAGAGAGCCCACCGTCAGGGCCGTGCCCCCTACAGCGGCGCCGGCCAGCGAGTACCGCACCTCAGCTCCGCCGACCTGACGCCGCGACACGGACACCACGAATGGTGGAATTGAGGGCTATTTTCAGCGTAACCCCACAACGTCTTGCCCCAAAGCAAATCCCGCTAGTATTATGAATCCGAAAGGATATCCTGACTGACATTGGCGGTGACAACTCCAATGCTGAATCAAAATTCGATTTAAAACTCTTAATTGTTCCCGATCATGGATCGAAGGTACAAGCTTGTATTGCACGAGAACATAAGCATGCTTCTGTCAACAACGCCAGGAGCTATCAATGTATGTGCGTGAAGAGTTACACCTTACATATTCTCAGTCCATCACGATACTTTTTCTGCATCTACTTTTATACGCTAATTTAAAAACTTACATACAATTAAGAAATTTTAGGTTCCATGTCACTTACATTAAAATTGTATACTAAGGTTAGGACCGTATCGATTATGCTAAAGAAACTAACAATGTTAACAAGTACATTTCGGTTAGCATTTATGCGTTAATGGAACGTGTGGCAATGAATTTGTTAGGGAAACTATAGTGGCCAGTTTTCCCGACAAATTCAATACAACACGAACATACAATCAATGAACGATAATTAAATAGTTTAACAACGGCAGTGAAAAATTTGATGTTGTAAATATAACTTCCGCTAAAAACATTTAACAGGTTTCCAAGCTAAAATCGTTTTTTGAATTTAATTATTGCGGTCGGATGATGTTTCTGCTTACACACGGGATTTGTAAACCTCAAATCATTTGAGACATTTGTGGTTCTTGCCCCCATATGACAAGTCCGAATTAAAAAGCCGACCGAAAGAAATAAATCTTTCAGCAAAAAGTACATACATAATTTATAAGCTAAACACGGAAGTACAAATAAAATAAAAATAAAAGAATATCTAAAAAGGAAGCAACTACTTTTCTAGCTTAGATCTCATATTTAACTTCACGTCATGTGGGAATTTTTAAAATTTAATGCCATTGTAAGTTTGGTAGACGCAACGCGATATATGCGTATTAGTATTTCTGCATTGACCTGATAGTTGTCATTTTAGAGAGAAAATTGAACTCCGACCAATTCCATATGCATTAAAGTATACACATTATAAGATATACCTACTTATTCAAATAAAAATAACATTCGAGAACAATATAACATTTCATTAGAATCTATCGTCTAACTTAAGATATAACGAATCATTAATAAAGTTCAAATGACGGCTATTAACTCGAGAACCGATGAACTCGATAGTAACGAGCCAAATCAGGTAATAGTAAGGATTTATCAATGGCCTGATTATTCCGTGTCAATTCGTTAACGATTTATATAATTAAGATAAAGAAATCGGAGCAAAGGGCGTCATTCGACTTCCTCCGAAGACGTTCTATCCGATCACTGCAGAAGGACGCGGTGGCAAGTGGACGCTAGTTGGGTCACATTACCTGCGTGGCCCAGAAGTCGGGGCCGAGGGTTGCTGAGACCAGGTGGATGGCCATGATGCAGTACTGGGCCTCGGTGACGTCGATGCGGCCCATCTTCAGAGTGCCGGTCACGTAGGCCTGCCAATGGGCGCAGTAGAACAGCGTCATCGCGCAGAAACACTGTAAAAAAACTTGCTATCAGGGAAACGATATTTGATAACGTAGAGTTAAAATGCATGCATGATAATATTATCAGGAAAAATAATCAAAAAACTCTATACAAAATTAAACAATTTAAACAATAATAATAGGTTAAAATATACAATTGGTATAAACTGGATTGTATGTAATTGTATTCAGTTATTTGTTATAATTACGTCCAAGTTATTCGAGGTTACATCATGTCATCACTTTAACTATTTTTTTTTTATTAATAAAATTATACATAGATGAATGCCCTACTAATTGATATACATGTAATAAATTGCGTTATAGACGCATTCGGAATGCTGTAACAGTATTTGAAATTCGAATTGCCAATTTATTACGTTGAGGAAAAATACAATATTCAAATTACAAACAATTAAGCATTCATTATACTATCAACATGACCAATGGCTCATTTACTAACGCCGTATATAAATTCTCACTAATAATTTCATCAAGGGTATTAACGTCGTCAACAGTTCTGATTACTGTACGCATTCGTTCGTTCAACATACTCGTGTTACGATTCCCACATTGTTTGCAGCGACAATGGTTAAATCATCGTGATGTTTACAATTTTTCAGCTGCATCCGATTAACAGTTAACTACATTGATCGAAGCAATAGGCGGAATCAATTATTTGCAGTCACGCAAACATACGCGTTAACTAACACTGAAAACGGATTTTAATTTAATTACAGCGACTGTGTTGTCTGTGCGTGGTGTATAGGTACCTACTGCATGAGAATTTAATACGTTGATGCGAAGCTAAACTATAATAATAATTACTACATTTAGTGAGCATTCATTTGTATTCCTGGATCTGTATTTTTATTGTGGTAGAGCCACAGAGTAACAGATTCTGAAGTTACTATAAAAACAAAAAAAAAATACGCTATGAAATTGAAAGAAGTTACAATATAAACTGTTCGACCTATGTGGCTACAAGACCTTTGTTGATCTGCCTACCAGACTTTCAAACGCATACATTGACAAAGTTAGTCGGTTTACGCATGCATTATGCGATCGCAGTTTTTGTTTTGTAATTATAACAATGGCTACAGAAGCATATTCAAACAAAATCAATGTTATTCTTTGATAACATAAACACTGTAAGTGGTCAAAACAACATAAAGAGACATAACATCAATTCTGCAAAAGAAAAATTGTTCAAAATGTCGATGATACGTGAGATCTGTTTATCTTTGCACAAAAGTAGGATAACGACTAAATATTTACAACTTCTGTTGTTAGGTGAACTAATATAAATTTAAACTGATTGTAAAATATGAGATATTTATGTGAAATCCCGTTCTATTTAGTATTTTCGGAATGCAAGTAGATTATTTCCTATATGTTGTAACATGATGTTTCGTAACAAACACGGAAATTAGTTTAAGACTGGGCAAATATTGAAACAGGTGGAGAATATTACAGACGTAAGACTACTTAAAGAACAAAACCGAGCAGGTCCCGACGAGCACTTTATATGATATATTTAGTCACCCGTTGGCAGGGGACAGCCCCACGGCTACTTCCATCTCAAAGCGGCCGCATGTTTGGGCAAAATTTTCATATTGGGAATCTCGCCAAACACCCGGTAAATGAGCAGTGGCATCATTCACCACAGACAAGACACACAATTTTTAACGTATTAACGGATAAGACATGCAAAGTGGACACAGTTTCACGTCTTTTTAACCAAGGAAGTTTTAAGCTGCACGAGGCATTCGGCAGCAATTAAGAACAATGTCAAGGATAGAAATTTTCACCACAATATAACCATAATGTTTATCATTCACTTTTATAGAAGGAATTTTATAAAAGGAAAGATAGAAGGAAGTATCTTCCATATAAATAAAATGATAGACGTCTGCCGTTGAGCGCGGGAGAACTACTAGATAGATTTCAATGAATGCTTCTACGTTTTATTTTTTTTAGACAATTTGCACTTATCTAAAACAAAATGTTATGACATCTTTATTAATTAAAAGTTGTTACAGTTTTAAGACGTGGTCAGTAGTGTTTTCTTTCCACGCAGAAGTGGGGCAAGCGGTGTAGGTGTTAATATAATAAGCAGCGCAGATTAAGTCGAGGGTATCAGCTGGTTTCAAATAAAGCAAATATAAAATCTTCAATACGTTTACTTTTACTCCGATATTAATGCATAAGAAAATTTAATATGCATAACAATCATCGTTTTTAACAACTAATTGAGTCGACAGGGAGTGATGTTACGTAACAAATACAAAAAACTGTACACCTGTACACAGGTGCTCTAGTGGTGGTAGTATCTAAGGCTGTGAGTTAAAATTTTAAGTGAACATGTCAGTGACTAGACCAGATATTAAATAAAATATTTATGTATTCATTCAGAGGCAAAATATAACGAAGATAAGATTGGAGTGTAATCAATAATGAATCTCTTATAACGAAGATGGTAAATAGAAAATGTTTCGTCGATTAGACGAAACTTGGCAAGGTTGGCGTATGTACCGCTTGCCAAGAAAGTCTCCCGGTCTGCTATCAATGGCATCCAAACATCGCTTTAAATAATCTCCAAAGACTATACGATCCAGCAAAACGTTTAATTTTACTCGACAATCGTCTTTTTGTAAAATTATCTAGCATATTACGTTTTGTTGGATGCCTCGCGTGGGATCTTTTTAATTTTAAAACGATTCAAGCCATTATACCGCTAGAAATTTTAAGCATTCTTGTCCGAAAGAGCTCAGAAACTGTAATGCAACTTTCTTTTGGAAATATTTGTGAATCAGGCTTAATTCAAAGCCCGTAGATGGATAAAGACGACATTGGCAATGCTGCAATAAAACAATATCACCAGCTTTAACATGTTTATGAGTTGTGATATGATAGCTCAGTGCCCGGGCCCTCGCTTTTAATTTAATATACTCGATAAACCTGAGTTCAATTCCCGGTGCCAGCACCTATTAAATTATTAATTACGGTTTTAAGTGCTGACTTACTCACGTGCTAGGCGGTGAGGGAAAGTATCGCAAAGCAATGCTTATGCAAATGCTTGGCGCAAAGGATATAACAATGGTTGCTTCAAATGCTAAAAAACAATGTAAATAAAACACATTAAGATTTTCGTCGGTGTGGCAATTAGCCGTTTAGCTTAGTGGTTAAAGCGTCAGGCCGAGAATACCGACAAAGTGGGTTCGATTCCCACAGCGGCGACAATCATTTCGTACTTTTTCTACATATTTTAATAATCAATCTTAATTGCAGAGATTAGCACTATAAAGAATTTAAATTTTTATTTAAGTTTGTTTGAAAATATTAAAAACGGTACAAAATTAAATTCTTTTTTTAAATTGATTAAAATGAACATTTGGTCTGGTAGATCTAGAAGTCATCTCGGCATCAATTTGCATATCCGGCTGATGATGAAATATAGAAACTAACAAACTGCGCGTATTACGGTAAGTTTAAGAGCGGTATGCGTGCAGACCTTTTACGTATATCATTCGCGCAAAGTCCGCAACAGCTTTGCAATTTGCTTGGGGTCAGTGCGCCCGCTTGAAAATGCCAACAGCGAAAATGAAACTGGTTGAATGAATGGTTTATTAGTGTGATAAAAGTCAAAAGTCAACATTACTTTATTCAATATGTGTGTTTTAAGCTCTTATTGAAAGTCAAAAAAGTAGACTGGACATTATAGACCTGAAGAGTCGGGAGGAAACTCTGAAGTTTTGTTCTGGTTTTTTATAATATCTATATTATATTACAATTATATCTATACATATATATATATGACATAAAACTTTACTCCGAAAGGATAATTAAACGATTTCACACTTAGTAGCCAAAGTTTAGATTACTCTTTGAATTCTTTTTTTTTACTCGTTTTTGTAAGATCGTGGTTACAGAATGTCTTACGAACATACTCCTCATTTGTGGACAAGCAATTATGTGACCGTTGCGTAGTACGGACATAGGATAGGGGGGTAGTAAAGCAAAGAAACAAGCCTTCAGTCTCTACTTAGTGTCATCATTCATTATTATTATCAATATTTATCAAGTAAAACATCCAATAGTCTATAACAGTTACATTTAACTGTTAAAGATCACGGGTTGTTTGTGATATGATAAATTATCCCACCTCAGAACCATGGACCTTTTTGGTCTGACGCTTACAGAGACGACCGAAATACCCAAGCATCAGAATAACAATGTCTCAATTCCATCGACAGGCGGTAGGCAAACGTCCAAGACCTTCGAAAACCTGAAATGCAAACATTATAAAGAGTATTACGGCGGCTCCTGATCTGGATGACGTATGTCGTTCAAGATGTCTTTAACTTAACCCGTTTAACTTTAACCCGTGATCTTTAACAGATTATTACGGCGGCACCTGACCTGGATGACGTAAGTCGTTCGTGAGTCAGTGGGTTTCCCGATTTTCGAAGAAATTCGCAACGACTTCCTTGTTCTTCGTCTGAACAAACATCTAACATTCGTGCCCTGTTCGTAGTTACTCTGTTGATAACGAAAGCTGTCTTTTTTACACCGTTGTTAGGTACAAATTACTAAAAATAGGGACTTTTATGCTTCTGCTTTATGTCATTAAATATTGCAATTTCATTGTAAACTGTTCTCCTAGATATCTCTTAATTAAACTTTACAAACGAATAGTGTTTTATAAAGTGAAATAGATTATTTGAATCTATTCAAAAGTGTTAGAAATTCATTATTCGGTTTAGGTTCGTTTCCAAAATGTGATGAACATCATAATCGCTCATAGTATACTGACGTGCAATGCATTTGTACTTTGATTTGGACAAGGTAACCGGGATCCATCCATCACGGTTGGAGCCCCCGTGGATTGAAGACATGCTTGGCGATATTAAATACATAACATCGGGTGACTGGTAGCTGGCAGACCATCCAAAAATAAGTACGTGCGTAATGCGTATTGTTCTTTTCAACCGACTTTGAAAAAGAAGAAGGTTCTCACTTCGACTGTATTTTTTATTATATTTGCTACCTCAGAAATTTCGATTTGAGTAAACCAGTTTTGATGATTCTTTTTTATTTGAAAGCTGTACACGGTACTTCCCATGTTAATTTCATTGGTATTTGGTCTTGGGCTCCGGAGATACTTAGAGAATTCCTGAAAATCTATTATAAAATGACGACAGAGCGAGATATCTGAGGTCGGTTTTTTTTCGTCAATAAAGAAATGGACTTGTTAGTATAAAAAAAAAACAGATAATAACGGAGATTTTGGCCTACTAGAGAATTGCTCCGTCACGCGAGTAGACAGTTCGATCTGCATCGAATAGCCACGTCCGCAAACTTCACATGTGCCACTCAGCGCCAAGGGCAGGTAGGTGTCTATTTTTTTAGTCTCTTTTTCTGAACAACTCCGAATTAAAGGTCTCCACATATAAACATATTATTGATATTAAAGGTGAATTAATATATTAATTACTTTACCTAATTATAGATAAATAAAAAATTATATCATACATATAAAATTCACATAATTGAGGCTGTCAACTAAGCTAAAACTACAAAGCGAATGGATGGTATGATATCATATCGCTGCTGTTAACGAGATTTTAAACACCATTGTTTTCATCGTTTTACTTGAATTATTCACCGACGGACTGTTATTATTTTATTTGCCACTGGCACAAATAGCATTATAATAAGCCAAAGAACGAACGTAGGTAACTTTATTGATCCCGACTACTTATAGATATCATATCGAACCAGTTTACACCAATAATTTACAACAATTTTGTACAAACGCTGATTAACGCACCTGTAGAAACCCCTGGTATAAAAATAGTGGAAAATTAAAAAATCCTCACAACAATTACATTTTCAGTTTCAATATTCTATCTAGATAGATTTTATTACTAGTGATAGGTATTTGACATTAGCTCCATAAAGTCACTTCAAAGTCCAATCTCCATTAACCAAATCTTTCTGTAGATCGAATAATGAAATCGGCCGTTAGTTAATATATCGAAAAAGTAAGTCGTATGCTCGTCCGAGAAGTACCACGGCCTGACAGAAAACCGGCGCGAATTGGTAGATATACTTTCGCGTTTCGTCTGGTGAGTGTGGTGACCGAGGCTCATTTTTTTTAGAGTTGTCAACGCATCTGTAAGCCGCTTAGGTGCTGTAAATGTCCATGGGCGGCGATATCCACTTGACATCTGAGGTGGACCGCCTGCTCGCTTGACAACTTTTCATATAAAAAAGGTATACTTGAATTGTAGGTTAAGATTAAGAAGGAGTAAACACGTTAACCGGTACAGGCTAGTTTACGAAAGTCGATAACTTCCTTGAACAATAAACACGAGGGACGCGGTCTTTACTTCACGAGTAGATGTAGGTAATTCACTCCCGTCTGAATCACTGGGAATTCTAGCAAGCCCATTAGGTGATTCGACACAAATATTTGCACTCTGCTGCCAGAAAAAACGTTCTGTTAGATTATGGACATTGAGACTTCTAATCTTAAGGCCCAATCTACCGTGTTATTAGCCTTAGTCGACTTATTTATTTAGATTGAAAACTGGTTTATTGTCATTTAAGATGTATAAGCAAATAGAGCACTTCTCATACCTAAAACTATACGAAGTTTATGTAATAAGTCGACAAGAAAATGAAAAAAGATTTCCGCATAGCGACAACTATTTAAAGTAAAACATAATGATAACAATTTATCAGAGTTGACGTTCGGCAAGTCATTTATGAGGTGATCCGGCAGTTAAATAAAAATGAACGTGTCTTATCAATAACGGTCTTATGATACTTTACTATATGCCCAGTGCCCACGAGTTTTAGTGCAAGAACTGATCAGATTAATTATGACTGAGTCGTCTTATAGACAATAGCACAAAGTTTGACGTCAACAAGATTTCTTTATTGTGATTCTTACAAGGATCATGATTTTATTTCAACAGATATTTCTCGAGTTATTGTTAGTTCTCATTTAATTTGTAAATATTAAAATTGATTTAATAAAGTCAACAACAAGTGAATCATGTTGTAAACCGGCTGTGTAACAGACGTCAACGCTCTTTGGGAACAAACACCCAGATTTATATCTGAAGTCACACAAATACTTATCCCCTGTGCGAATCGAGCCCAAGACCGCCGGTGTCGAATGCAAATCGCTTAGCAACTACGTCAACAAGATTTCTTTATTGTGATTCTTACAAGGATCATGATTTTATTTCAACAGATATTTCTCGAGTTATTGTTAGTTCTCATTTAATTTGTAAATATTAAAATTGATTTAATAAAGTCTCCTCCCCTTATAAAGAAGATGGGGTCGTCACAACAAGTGAATCATGTTGTAAACCGGCTGTGTAACAGACGTCAACGCTCTTTGGGAACAAACACCCAGATCTGGGAACAGTTATCTGTAAGTCACACAAATACTTATCCCGTGTGCGAATCGAGCCCAAGACCGCCGGTGTCGAATGCAAATCGCTTAGCAACTACGCCACCGAGTCATCCGAGACAATAAAAAAATTTAATTTTTAATTTAATTTAAAACTTTAATGTATCATATTAAGTGCAGAGATTAGCAATATAAAAAAATTTTTTACTCCTCCTCTGTACAGAGAGTATCAGGGCATAGTCCACCACGCGGCCCCACTGCGGATTGGCGGACTTCACATCTTCGAAATATTTTTTTTTATTATTTCGAAAAAATGCAGGTTTCCTCACGATATTTTCCTTCACCGCAGAGCACGTGATAATAAACAACTAATAAATTATAAGGCTATTAAAAAAATTTCACCGTAGCGAATAAAAATCACTGACCTGGAAAAACATCCAGGTGGGATACTCTCCCAATTTAACAGCTATGCAGGCCCCAAGCGCTATGAACACTGTAGATATGCTATCGCAGCCATGGTCGAAGAGTTCGCCGAGTGGCGACTGACTCCCAGTGCGACGCGCCTGCTTGCCGTCGATGGCATCCAAGCTCTGATAAACGAAGACTCCAAGAGCACAAAGAGCACAAGCCCACCGCGGCGGATCCTGCCTCGCATCAGGGCTGTACCTGATGATAGAGCAGACACTTAAAGACACAAACTAGCAGACACTTAAAGACACAAACTGCTGAAAACTCATGCAGCTATAGCATTCTATTTCAACCATGTACCCTATGAAATATCATGTTAATCAAACATCAAAACCATAATTATTGTCCCAAAATTTATTCTTCTTTTTAATTGGCTAGTGCTTGACCACTTACTATCCACAATGGTGATTTAGAAGCAGATAGTAAATGCAGATGCTTATTAAAAATACTTCTCACTAATTGTCTTGTCAGTACTGATTTTTTCTTAAATTTATTTATGTCCTAGAGACCCACCCTGGCCTCATATTATAAATACAAAACTTCCTCTTCTTCAATCGATGTAGTAAAAAAACTGAATCAAGATCCACTTGATAGTTTTAAAGATCGGGGCATACTTAGGGACAGACAGACAGTGAGAAGACTTTGTTTTATACTATGTAGTGATACTTTCAGATTTATGTGCTGAAGAAAATAGACAACCGGGAACTACCTAGTTCCCGGCTTTAGCTTCTAATCTATGCAGAAATAAATAATGTCTAGATATTAATAGCTAATGCATGTACAGTAGTTTTTTATTATTACAATTCTACATAAGGCCATGCTCTTCACATTTCATAGAAGGCTTCCTCTCTTTACTGTTCTCTCCCAGGTGAAACAGACAAGTTTATAAACTTGTCTGCTCGACTAGGTAACCAGAGCCCACTTTTTTAAAGATTGGAAATGCATCTGCAACCCCTCAAATATTGTAGATTTCCAGGGGTGGTGGGAATTACTTTACATCAGGTGCATTGCATTGTTTTGCTTTCCTGTTTTACCATATAAAAAGAAATTGTTATTTTTATTTTAATAATATTTTTCATAAATAACAATAGATATTTACCATTTTATACAGTTATTGTTTTCAATCTTATGCAATGTTTTTCAAGGTTAAAAAAATCTAAAAATAATCTAATGAACAGAATTGAAATATCACTAATGGAATAATTCAAAAGTTAATAAATCACAAACACGCAAATGGCATGCATACGCTTACTCTTAAAAATAAATAATTATAACTTATTATTTTCACTATGAAAGTCCGAAATTTTATTGAAAATCTTAAATTTTAATTTTATGTTAAATACACAGTTTGTAAGAATTGATTAAGCAATTATAATATTAAAAGACAACCAACATGCTGTTATCTAATTTGAAAATCATTTACAAAAATTATAAAATACTATGCCTGTGGCTTCACTCGCATTAAAGCCCTTAAACAAATATTTTTATTTAAAAAAACCCTGTCTCCTTTTTAATGCCCATAAGAATATGTGTACAAAGTTTCATTATAATCGATTGAGTAGTTTTGGCATGAAGGTATAACAAGATGGACAAGGAATATTAGAAGGAAGATGATCATAGAAGGAATTCTGGGAAAAATATATGATCAGTTGAATCGTCATCTAGGCCACATTGTGGCTAGGAATCTAAGCTAGAGATATCAATATTCCTTTCATATGACACCTATAAAAAGCAGCTCTAATCTTGTAAATTAAGGGGAAATTAAGTTTATAATGGAAGTGATTAGCTTAAATGGCTTGCAAACATCTTTTAGAATCTTTGAAAATGATAGTTTTATTTAAGTCATGAGATTCTGCGAATTAGAATTATATTAATTGTTAATGTAAATATTAATGTTAGAAATTATTAATAGTTCATGTTAGTGAAGTAGAAATGTGTTTGTGATATATCAGTATTTTAAACTTCAAATAGGTAGTAGCCTCTAATGAATACTGTACACAAAAGAATGGTGGTGGATTTTGAATTATGAATTATTTCATTAGAGACATAACTCTATAAATTAAGCATTTTGTAACTTTAAGAAACATTGCATAAGATAGTAAACAATTGACTTTTATACTTCCATGTCAGGAGCAAAATACTTATTATTTCCATAATGAGCTATTTGTAGGGCATTAAAATGGTAAATAAACATTTTGTTATAAATCATTTTTTCTAAATAAAACATAGAAAACAAAAACAACACTAAATTAACGATTGTTTCAACTGCAAATTATTTACATTAACAATGCCTTGGATGCATTTATTTACCAGATTTGATAATATAAATATTTGTAGTTGTACTATATATTCTATTACTGTTACAAATAGTACTAATCCCCCTCTTGTATAATAAATTAATTTAAATAACTGCACCAAATGACTTGGGCACACTTGGGCTGGGGTGCATCTATTCTTTTTTTTTATAAAACTTGTATTATAAAACTATAGTTTAACAGGAATATGATGATTTGCGTTGGTAAATTACGGTTAAATTATTAATCATTACCATCATGATGTTAATATCTTGTAGCCAGAATATAAATTGCTAAGAAAATTATTAAAAATAAAATATCTATGCTATTATTTTTAGATTATAAAAGGTTTTCTGTATTAAAAAATAATGATTTTTTTTTAATTTCAACTATAATGTTAAGTTAACTTTTCTATGAGTTTCAATAAGCACTTGAAAGAAACAATTGCAATTGGTTTGTAAAAATTACATAGGGGTTTATTATATTACATTGATTTATTTTAAGTTGGAACCCTTTTTATTATATCGATAAATAAATTGAATGGCTTATCTAATTGTTCAAATCCTTAAAGCGAAAGTATTTCCTGGTCTGTCATATAACGTTACAAAATGCGAAATGATCATAGTATCGCAATATATTACTACTAGAATACTAGTATCTTATCGGAATGAAGTAGTGGCGCGACGTAACGGCAGCCAATCGTACGTTTCGATTTAATTTTCATACGATTGCGACAATCAAGTAAACATATACACGAGCATGCGGTCAGAATTTCCTAATTGACTTTTATTGACATAAAAATGTTGTAGAATGTAGGGTGAAAGAAAGCTACGGTCTCTTGTGAAGCAAAAATGAAAGTCGTTCCGCTAGTTTACCCGTGACACAAATTGCGAAAATGAACATAGGTAACGTAAGAATGCGCGCTGGTACTTACCAAACTAATATTAAGGTTGTGACTATATTAACTATTAGACCTAAAATTGTAATGAGATTCGGTGCGAGCCATAGCGGCGTTTTAGAAACTAGCCAGCACCACCAAGGTTGGAGCCATGCGTCCAATATACTGGCACTAGTACACGAATATTTATGTTCACTTAGTCTTTTTAACTGTGCAGCGTTTAAAATCCTCTCTTTATAGAACTGCATGTTGTATCACTGTCACGACATTTAATAAAAAATAATACACGTCACTAATAAAAGAATTTTCACTATTCGCAATATTTCGAAAATGAAATTCGCACGGCCACTTTAATCACAGATCACATTATCACGTCAGTACGTCAAATCAGCCCAGTCAGTCAGTTAAGTTCAGACCATAAACATTTATCCCCACAGACTAAAATAAATATTTGGTCATACATAGATCACGTAAGCTACAGATTAGTAATAAATTTGAAATTGGCCTCCAGCTATAGACACGAAATTGTTATTGATGTGTCTAGATTAATGTTTGAAGAATGTACATGCACACTTGACTGAAAAAAACTGCTTAAGCTCATGCAGTTTATTTCATTTGAGTTGTCACAAGATGCAAGTTCATTAATACGAATTAATTAATACGTTGAAGAGCTCAATTGCATAGTACCAATATAAAGTTAATTTTAGCTAAAAGCAAACAGATTTTAGATGTCGATATAGATAGATAGAAAGAATTATGTACTGCACATAGTGGTGGCTGAAAAATGAAACAACTCCTTTCATATCAATGGCATGCGTGTATTTGGAAACTTAATTGATTGACCAAAGAGGACAAAATTATTATTTTGCACATGAACTGCAAAATCTAGTGGATGACTAATAAATTAAGAAAAAAAGGACTACGGTACATATTTGCTGTGTTTGTGTTCTTGTTTGCCATGGAACCGGGGCGCTATAATAAGTAGAACTTCAAAAAGTCATTCTTGGGTATTTTAACATTGAAAATCAAACCTATTATAGAGTTAATATCACTTAAGATGTTAGATTAAAATTTTGCTTTTGCTGTTGACTGCCTAGCTCACGACTCACACAGCATCTATTACTGCATGAGCGGGCCAACCCCAGCGAGAAAATACCATGAAAGTGAAGTGAAAAGGCATAAACCCAGACTCGAAACAATATATTAATGTAGCATGTTTCTGTTCAGTGGATCATAACAGAAATGATATTCGATGATACTTGACGGTTGGCAAGGTGACGTAACTAAACCAACGAGTTACCTGTACATGTTAATATAATTATTATGATCGACGGCATTAAGTGTCTAGTGTGCCACCAGTGGCCATTTAATAAAAAAATATGTATTGCCACTAGTGGTTATTAAGTGTTTAAATATACATTAAAGCGTAGTGAAATAGTTATCATAGTGGCAGTCTAACATAAAATGCTATTCTGCCACAAGTTATTACTCATTGGAATATGATAAGTAAATATTTGGGGATATTTATTTGTATTCTCGTCTGGTAAATATATATATATATATATATATTTAATGTTATTAATCAGATTACAAATAGTAAAAATTACCAGTTGTTCTTTACTTTTCCGTTTTCATGCGCTCTCGTCATAACTTTGGCTATGTAGCTCCAGAGTGTCCCTTTACCCACTAAACTTTCGTCCTGAGATTCTGGCACCAAATTTTTTATTCACTCTAGGGGATTTGCGGCAGAATAACATTATATTATCTCAACTTACCACTAGTGGCAGCACAATTATTTTTAGTAAATGGTGGCAGACTAGACACTTCCTTTGAAATTACAGTGGTAGGGCCACACAGCAGCCTCGGCTGTTGCACGAATGGGCAGGCTCGTCCGGGTAAGTACCACGACCTCACTGAAGACCGGCGTAAAGTGGAAGTGTAATACTTTCGCGTTTAATCTGGTGAGTGAGGTGGCTGGTGCCCAATTTTTAAAAGGTTGTCAACTGCAACCCCTGGGTGTAGCAGATGTCCATGGGCGGTGGTATTCACTTAACATCAGATGAACCGTCTGCTAGCTTGACAACTTTTCACATAACAAAAAAAATATATTTCTAGTGTAAATGTAAGTAAATAATTAAACGAAAACGTTTATTTCAACAATATTTATATTTTAATTACAAAGTTTTAATACTCTCTAAAGATAGACAATTATTCCAAATAATTAAAATTAACACATTTTCAATACAATATTTTCATACAATATTTTTAAGTCTCTTTTTAAATTTTCTTAAAACTATTTGTTTATCTACATAGTATAAGTGTTATTTAAATCATTGCGGATTTTGCGTACAATTGTTAAAAAAGAAATAGGTATTACCTACTTGATTAAAGAAACTTATTCCATTTATAATACATTAATAAATGTAATAGCCGACATTCTTGTCATTTGTTAACCCGAGTTTATAGTTAAACAACATTTAAATAAAGTAACAGGAAATATTTTGTGATTTATGAAAAAGTAATAGATTAATGATTATCTTTTCATTCCGTCTCTTCCCTCCTTCCAAAATAAATGTATCTTTTATCGAATGTTTGGTAGTATATTAAATATAGTAAAGACCCTGATTTTCTTTCTATTTGCGCTTAGTTACGTGCAAATAATAGAAAAATATATTTTTTGTTATTATAATAGCTATAAATTTTATAATTATAAAGCCTGAACAAATGACACAGAATCATTTTCACATCATAGTTTATTTACTTTATTGAAGTATGGTTAGCAGAAAAAAAGACACAAAAGATAAGCTTGGTTACGAATAGGGTTAGTTATAAGGAACAAGAAAGGCTGCAAAGCATGTAAAACTATATTAAACAAATATATCAAAAAAATCGTTTTCACGCGTTTGTTCTTTGATATGTTTATTAAATGTGGGTTCAATGGAGACTAGTGAGAAATTTCTCAATTTATTTTTGAAAGTGAATACAGATTTTACTGAAATTACTTTATTTGCTGTAGCAGTTTAAATGATTTTAGTATATTTTTACGATTTACATATTAAAAAGGCTAGGCTCTACTAGGATATAGTAGTGTAATGTGAATCTTTGGGACAGAAAACTGCAAATATTTATTAAATTAATTTGTGCACACTATGTCTATAAGGAGTAAATATAATTGAGTTTTGTTACAAAAAAAAGGTTTACATCTTTTAAACTAATTTTAAATAGCGATAAGGTAAGTAGCCCTTTCATATAATTTAAATTTGTTACATACAATGTTCGTTATTTCGAAGGTTTTACGTTGCTACCTACTCTTCGACTGTCCCTTTCTAGATTCGATTCTTTTCTGCAGAGTGGTCAATAGTGCGCCTAATACGTTATGGCCAGGTAATCGTTTCCCAAAGAGTAATCTTTTGACAGAGTCGTCGTACGTGAGCAATGCCACCATGTTCTGGAGAAGGAAACCCTGGCAATACTCTAACAGCTGTGTAGCACCATAAACCTGAAACAACATTATGTCTTAGTGTTTAGGAAGATTACATTTAGGCGACAATTACTAAAAATACTGGCTGCTACCCGCGACTTCTGCCGCTTGGTTCATTGCAGATTTATAATTTATCACTCCTCTGGACACACATGCACGTCGCTTATACGCGTTTAAGAGTTATAAGACGTACTAGTAAGCAGAAAGTAAGAAAAACGTGTGTGTACATATGTACGCACCTAAAAAGTTATACTTCTTTGGCGTAACAAAAGAAACATAACAAAAAAATTTATCCCCTGTGCAAACAAAGAGTACTGTTGTTTGTGAAAAAGAAATTGTAAATGCAATTGATAACGGTTTAATTAAGTTAACTTGGAATTTATGTAAATGTCAAAAAGGTTTTATTGGTTGTCATGGTAATACCGTAAAGTTTGCAACTTCTTCGCAACCAACTTTATCATCATGTCACTTTTTGGCTGTAAAAATTTTACTCTCATAATTTTTTGCAAACGTTCCAAAAGAAGTAATAACTTGAAAAATATTTTTTTTTGGAATGACCGGGACTACGCGAAAGTTATATACATAATACTAATTAATTCAAAAGATTTCGTCATTAAGTTATAAGTCTTGATCAACTTTTCGTTATTGTAAATGTTCCACGACCTGACGTCTTACGGCCGGTTTCAATATTCTATCTACAGATAAATTAGCTTACTGGAGATAAGAGCTGATGTTCAATGTATACTTTCACGTATCCATCTATCTCTCTCCCCCAAGGTTCCACTGAAAACCAGTATTCACGAAGGTGTTCAACTTCGTTATATAAAGCTGAGAAAGCTAATTATGTGTATTTAGTTTTCAGTATCTGTTCTATTTTGTTTTATATGCACTAAACAAATATTTCCTTCTTTCTGATACCTTGGCGTGTATGTAGACGGAGACGAGGTTGTGCAGGTCCACGGAGCTGGCGGCGCGCGCCTCGCAGTGGCGCTGCAGCGGCAGCAGCTGGAAGAAGGAGGCGGCGGCCAGCACCTCCAGCACGTCGCCCTCCGGGATCTGCAGCCCCGCGCACCCGCCGCAGTACAGGTACTTCATCACTTGCTGCGGGGTTGCAAACGGATTTTATTAATGATATGTTTTGTTTTGTGTCCTAAAGGGGTCCGTACCAAAGGGTGAAACTGTCTGTCTGTCTGTCCGTTTGTCACCAGCCTGAATCTCATGAACCGTGATAATTAGACAGTTTCAATTTTCACAGATATGATGTTATTCGGTCCAGCCGCTTAGGAAAGAAATATATTAATAAAGAATAAGATAAAATTATAAATTTTAAGTAGCCGCCTGACAAAAAAAAACTGAATTAAAGTTAAAAACCGATGACGTCACTCTTCGATAAAAAAAAGTCCGCACCGGTCAATCCGTTTAGACACAGACAGACTCAACAGATACACAAACAGACACGTGAAACTCTTTACGGGGGTTGAAAGATGATGATAAAAAAATTTTCATAACCTTTAAATACATAAAGTAATAAAAAAATATTCTAAACAAAACCTTTTTGAAATTTAAACGTAGCTTTTTGGTTTTCAGAACTGCAACTTTAAAACATATTTACTGTGGTACAGATAACATATGCACAGTAACTACAGTAGGCATGGGCAAGTGCGAGGAGTCCTCCGCGCGGAACAAGTGAAACTTCGAGATCCACGCATTCCCTCTCACTCTGTCTCTTTCTATTCCCCATCCCCTGGAGCGTTGAACGTTTAACGCAACAGTGGTTTCATACCACCTCCACGGTAGCGTAAACGTTCAACGCAACCTTGTTGCAAGTCGCATTAGAAGTTGCACTTTCACGCGGCGGTGGCCACTCACCTCGAAGATGTGGTAGCGTATGTCGTTGATCTGCACCAGGGGAGGGGCGCCCGGGGGCAGCTCCGAGGCCCTGGGCGGGGCGAGCATCGCGCGCAGCCGCGGCGACTCCGACACCAGCACGATCTTGTGCCCGTAGAACAGCCGCCCTTCCACGCTGCGAACGGACACATGCGGCGTTGGATCGCTTTATAGGTGCCAACCTACATGATCTATATCACCGAGACGCCTCAATATCAAAAGATATGGATAAAATAAGCAAAAAAAAAAACACAAAATTACTGGTGGAGCAAAAGACGTCAGACAAAAATAACAGGCTATACGCAATAGTGTTTTAAATAAGATTGTTTTTAATGTACATAACTACTAAATAAACTTTTTCTTTTTCTAATTCTGATTTTTCTTCTCTAAATTTAACGACAACTCTCTATAACGCCATAAAATGCACAGTCTCTTCAGTGATGTTACATGGGATTTACACTGTACATATATACTTTTTTTCGTTATTTTCACGTGTTGAAATATTGAAAAAAAATCTAAGGCTTTGTCAAGTCCGCCAATCCGCAGTGGGGTCATCCTCTGTATAAAGGCCTTTGCCCAGCTGTGGGACATTTATAGGCTGATATTTGTACAGTCTTAATATGGTAAGGGCCACGCAGCAGCCTCGGCCGTTGCACGAATGGGCAGGCTCGTCCGGGTAGACCTCACAGAAGATCGGCGTGAAGTGGAAGTATAATACTTTGAAGTGGTCGGAGCCCCATTGTCAAAAGGCTGGCCATGGGCGGCGGTATTTATTTAACGTCAGGTGAACCGCCTGGTCGCGTGGCCTGCCTGGTTCACATAGGAAGCACGGGCTCACCGGAAGGTGACGTCGGCGAGCGAGGGGTTGTTGACGTAGGAGGGGTCGACGCGGGCGGGCGCGGGCGCGGCGGGCGGCGGCTCCTGCACGCGCGGCACCGGCTCCCAGCCGTAGCACGCGCACAGGATGTCCGCCAGCAGCAGCACGGTGCCCTCCTTCTTTGTAGCGACGTGTCGTTGTTAAGGACGAAATAACAACGAGTTGCACAAAAGGAAAATACAAAGGACACCCCACTTGATATGTACAGCTGTAGCTGGACGTGCACAATATTGTGACGGTAAAAGAAAAAATAATGATGACAGGTAAAATAGACAAGTTAAATTTGTCTTATTATAGACGCACCAACAGTGAACCTGTTTACGCAATTTGCACACAAGGAAAACCAATGAACACAATGAAGACAATTACAATATTGTGACAATAAAATAAAAAATAGTGATAAGTTAAATAAACAAGTAAAATATGCTTTACTTAAACTTTAATTATGATAGTAGACAGTTGCAGAATAATATAAGTGCACGTAATTGCTTCAACTCACTTTGCTGTACCGAAGGATATTAAACAGCAGAGGAAGGCATTCATAGATGAACTGCTTGCTGTAGTGGCTGTCGTCAGATGGACACACCTGTGAATATTTAAATAGACATAGGAATTAGAAAGATACTATTGTGTCAATTAAAGCCTTGTATTAAAGTTAAAAGCGTCCCGTAATGCAAGCTTGCTCAAAATAAAAAGTAAGCATAAGAAAAATAAAAACTACTTCGTGTTCTTTAACTAGTTTAGTTTTTAATCAACCTGCAACTAAACTAAAAGTTTGTCACTCTCATTTAGGTACATCGCAATGAAAAAGTTGAATCGAATTGAAACACTCTTTCATGCTAAAATGATATCAGCGATTGGGCACATATCCAGGGCAATGTTTGGAAACATTGAGACAATAAATTCACCCGACGCGTTGTCGGAGTTACCTGTAAGAAGTCTTGCAGGAGCTGGTCTATGACGTGGTCCAGGGAGGCCTCCGCGGCAGCCGCCAGCGAGAGGGTCCATGCGTGCAGAGACCACGGCACCCCGAGGGCGCGCAGCTCTAGCGTGATGTCTGGCGATGGACAACGAAATTGTTTCATCTAAATACTACCTGCTGCCCGCAACTACGTCTGCGTAGAATGGGCTGAAGGCCTAACATTTAGACTGAAAGACAGATACACATAAAATATGTATATAATTAAGCCAATGTGTTATTCTGATGCATAAGCTATATTATTGTAAAGTTTCGTTAAAACCCATTCATTTGTATTTGCGTGAAAGGGTAACAAACATCCATCCATACATACAAACTTTGATACAAACATACCATGAAAAAGACAATATAATTAATTTTTATTTCTTAATTTGAAATTATAATTTACAGAAATCTGTGATAGTAGAGTGAGGTGAGTAAAATCAAATATGGGTGGAACTTATGCACTAATCACGCTTGAACTCGGAAGAGTGTAAATTGAGTTCGAAAAAGTTCAGACGAGTATATTAAACTCTCATTGAACGTCGCAAAAATACCAACGGTTAATTAAACTAGGTAGACATTTTCAGAGAAGAACCGGCAAGAAACTCTACGATCTTGTTACCTTTTTTTAATTTCATTATATAAGTCTCAAAACTTTTTAAACATAAAATCAGCAGTAGCCAGGGGAAGGAAGTGCAGATCAATTGTAATATCTACAATTTTTTTAAAATAGACCCTCGCCAATAGGGTACATTTTACAAAATGTTTGTAGGTATTAAACGTTAGTAAACAACAGTAGGGAATAAACATTAGTAAGCTGTGAAGGTTAGTAGAGGTAAACGTTAGTAGATTTCAAACGTTAGTAAGGGGTTTGGTAGGGGACATAGGGGCGCATGCGAGCGAGGCTGTGTCTCCCACCCAGGTGTTCGCTCTCCGCCGCGTAGTACATGGCGTCCTGGAGGGCGCGCTGCTGCTGCTTGGTGAAGGGCGGCGCGCGGCCGGCGGCCTGGGGCGAGCCCTCGGCCAGCACCTCCTCGAGGGAGAGCACCGCCCCCGCGCCCCGCGCGCCCCCGCGCACCGCCGCGCGCAGGCACGCGCGCCGCCCGTGCGAGCAGCACACCGCCACGGCGCTGCACACGCATCGCACAATCGCACAATCGCACAATCGCACAATCGCACAATCGCATCAACGGGCCCTCTCGTGCGTTTCGAGGGGCCTCTGCGGCTAACGACGCCGTTGCCCAGTAAACGGGGCATTTGCGGTTCATGACCGCGTTAAATCTTCCAAGACCATTTTTCTTATATGTGATAGGGCACGCAGCTGTCTTTGAGAAGTGCGAAGACTTGAGAAGACCAGCGGGAAGTGTTATACTTCTGTGCTTCGTATGGTAAGTGAGGTAGATGGAGCCCACTTTATTGAAAGGTTATTATTTACCCATTTATAAACACGGGTGTTGCAAATGTCCATAAGCGGCGGTTATCACTGAACACCAGATGAGCGACCAGATTGCTTGTTTTCTTACATAAAAAGAGAACACGCTATCGACTCTATCGACTGATGAAGGCATGTCTTAAAAATGACCATATATCATGCGTTTAGGCTAATGATAATGCAAATGCACCCTCATGTTTGTTTCCTCACTGAATAGTGCGCAAGAAAAAAGCATCAATGTAAACACTTAAAAGAAAGACTTCTTGTGAATGTGAGTATACCGTATCGGAAATTACTAGTCGCCTACATCTTTGTATTCCACATTTGGAATCTTCACTACATCTTTGTATTACACATCGCAGACAACCCTAATACAAAATAAGTATACAAAATTCCGGCGAGGGAATCAGAAAAAAAAAAATTGACTTAATTTTTTACTTTTTATTTCAAATTGGAATGTAATCTAATGGAAATTGCTTTTTAGCATATATTGCTATTGTAAATAATTCTTGAAATATACCTATAGCATCCGTACTGAGCAGCAGCGGAATAACATAAGGCATCATTGAGCTGAGTTGACAGGAAGGGGTCGGCGCCGTGGGATAGCAACAGTTGCACTAGTTCTAGGTTACCGACGCCACATGCTATCTGCAAAAAGCATTAAGTACAAATTATTCATAAATACTTAACATTCGTTTACATACATTGTTAAATCAACGTAAAGCAATAAATATTTAATGAACTTTTCAGCAGTGAAGTGTACGTGTAAGGGCTTATTATAATGTCGAGGAATACATTGAGGACAAGGATGTGTGGAAATGACTCTTGCTCTGCACTTGCAAGTCCCCTGGCTCCTGCTAAATTATACTAAAATAATTTTGTGTGTATACTTAAATACTTAAAAAAAAATTGAAATAAAATATAAATATATGACCGCAGAGTTTCTTGCCGGTTCTTCTCTTGCAGGTCTAGTTTAGTGAACTGGTGGTAGTTTTTGACGTTCAATAAGAGCTTAAAATAAGCCTATGTTGAATAAAGAAATTTTGACTTGACTTGACTTGTACAAAACGTATTTCATAAAGGGTTAATGTAGTAGTATTATTGTAGTATTATTTATGAACTGACTAAATTATTTGTCATTCCATTTTCAATATGTGTATGTTCAATGAAAAAGTGGTGAAGTTGTATCCCGTCCGCGAACAATATCACAGTGGGTTTGCGTTCCCGAATTCACCTGCCCATCGTGTACTATTTATTTGGAAAGCCGCAAGCGATGGCCGCGGCGGGCGTCCTCACCTGCAGCGGCGTGAGGGTGCAGACGTCGTCTCCCCTGGCCGGCGCGGCGTCCACCCTGGCGCCGGCCGCCAGCAGCCTGCGCGCCACCTCCACCGCGCCGCCGCCCGCGCGCCCGCACGCGTACACCAGCGCCGTCCACCCTGCAGGCGAGTCGAGATAATGTTATTGTAAAACATATTCGCGACAAAACTAAATTAACCGACGCCTTAACTTTCTCGCTGGAAACCAAATGGACATGGGCGGGGCACGTAGCCCGTTATGTCGACGACAAGTGGACCTCAGAGTGGTGAAATGGCAAGGTCCTAGAGGTCGGAGGGCTAGAGGTCGCCCAGGCGCTAGATGGTCGGGTGAACTAGTAAAGGTAGCAGGAGAAAATTGGATATCCTTGGCTAGACACAGAGAACGATGGAAGTCCTTGGAGGACGCTTTTACCCGAAAGGGGTCCATATAAGCCACGAAAACAATTATTAATCAAATGCATTTATTATTTTTATTATTTTATTTTTCATTTATTTATTTAATGAATTGAATTTAAATTTGTACTTAATGCAATCGAATTTAGTTAAAAATACTTTTATTTATATTAGGCTATTAATCAATGTGGTATGTGGAATGAATAAAGCTTATTATTGTTATTATTATAATGTTATAGTAAAGTAAGTGCAATGTCTTTTTTAAAGAAAAGAAACGAAAATTGTCGTCGTATGTTCGAACCGGCGGTGGGCGGGGTGTACCCGGTGGCGGGGTGCGCGGGCGGGTGGGGCCCGTGTGCGGGGGGGCGCGGGGAGAGCAGCGCCGAGTGCTGAGTGGCCGCGCCCACCGTCTCCACGTTCGGATCCGCGCCGGCCTCTAGCAGCATCTGTCCAAATAGAAAAAGTGAAAGTAAAGTAACAGCCTGTACATGCCCCACTATTGGGCAAGAGGCTAGTAGAACATGGTCCAGTCGCATATTTTCGAAATATTCATTTTGTTGTATATTTCGAAAATATGCAGGTTTCCTCACGATGTTTTCCTTCACCACTGAGTACGTGATGAGTCAACACTTATAATTAACAATTACAATGACGCCGGCACCGGGGATCGACCACCACCAGCCCACGTTGCTCGAGTAATTTAACCTAGCCTTTCTTTTAGGTACGATTTGATTATGAACACAGTTTCCTTTGGCAATGTATTTATACCTTGAAGACATTTGGGAATACTCACCGCCACAACTTGTTCATCGCCCGCCAGGGCCGCCTTCATCAGTACCGTGAGCCCAGAGCTGTCGGGGGCGTCGAGGCCCTGCGACGGCAGCAGCGCTCGAGCACCTCCTATCAGTTCTGGTCTCCCGGTGAGCAGAGCGCGATGAGCTAATGATAACGCCGCGCGACTCAACTCTTCAGGATTCCTGGAGCACCTGGACCAGGCAGGTTCGATTTCCTCTTCGGCCCTGAAAACCATTAAGCTAGGACATTAAACATTTTCCTTAAAATTTACATTTACTGACAGAATGCATGGTGAATTTGCATGTTAATGATACGTGACATCCTAATTAGTAGTTTTAATAGTGGTGGCATTATATGCCGTCCTGAAATGTAAAATCCCACCACCAGCAAGCTATGCGAGAGTTTAGCGCTAGCAGTGAGAAAAGTGCGACGCCGAGCCTTAAGAGTCATGCAGGCGGCACCACCACCATGTGATTCCAAGCAGGTCATCGGAACTGAGCACAGTCTCTGTCGAAACATGCGTCCCTGGTATCCATCCGACGGCTCTCGGCGGCAGTCCGCGCCCAGCTGTCGTATGTTATTGATCCGAGCGAGCGATCGGCAAAGAATGTGTCCGTCGAGATATGGGGTCCTGGTACCCACCCCAACACAAGTATTTCGGTACCCATCAGGACAAGATTGTTAAGATCATCGGCATCCACGCGAGAGCCTAGCGCTAGCAGGAAGGGAGCATGTGCAACCCTGGTACCCATCCGACGGCCCTCGTCTCCAGTCCGCGCGCGGTAGCCTTATGTGATTCTGAGCTACTGACATAGAACACAGTGTCCGTCAAGATATGCGGCCCTGGTACCCACCCGACGGGCCTCGGCGGGCAGTCGGCGTGCGGCAGCAGCAGCCGCGCCGCCTGGCGCACGTCGTCGGCGTCGGGCGCGGCGGGCGGCGCGCGCAGGCCCGCGTGCGCCCGCGCCGCGCGCACCCACTCGCCCAGCGGCGGCAGCGCGCCCGCGCCGCGCTCGCCCCACAGCGCCGCGCCCCACGCCGCGCACGCGCCCGCCGACCCGCTCGAGTGCTCCAGCTGCCGAAGGCAAACGCTACTTACGGCGAAACTCTATCTCCGGTAACTATTTTATAAACTTATTGTGGGAATCTAAAAAGAAATTGCGATAAACGATAAGTGTCGAGTAAACAGAAATGTTCTGCCATCTGCGAGCTCTGTGTATGGGCGTTGAAAAAACCGTTAGAGTTACACGAAGTACTAATTCTGCGCAGACCAAGTCGCGCACACCGGCATAGTCCTCCATGATCGCTACTCGAACATGGCAGATCGTTTCATATGTGTACTACATATACAGCAAAAGAATGCAACACAGTTTTGCTAATCTTCACTGGAATCTGATCTCATCGATGGAAGTAAATAAACTGTAACTACATATTGTCAAGAGGCCGGTGATTGGAATTCGAGTGCCTTCCACCAATTTTTCGTTAACTGATTGAAAGGATTTTATAACATACTAAATGAGAGTCAATGAGAGTCATGAGCAACTGTCACATCTGGAAGATCGGAAAGAAATGAGCCGAGCTCGTTGTCAAAGTTCACTATGATTGAGTGAACTCTGTAGACGAGCATCATACGCAAGCAAAGTGACATAGAAAACTTATTGGTACACATCACTAGTATTTTAACTTCTCGGTCTCCCTCTACCCCGCTCTTTCTCAATATTTCCTTCTATGATGTTCTCAATTTAATTTAACATTAGGCGCACAAATTTAAAACTGGAATGGGCTGAACGAACACGTATTTAAATAGAGTAGAAAATCTAAATAATAGAAAAAAACACAAAATAGAGAACATTGCCTCGTATTGCATACCTGCGAGCACCGCATGTAGTAGTAGAGCGCGCGCTCAGCCGCCGGCGAGAGGGGGGGCAGGGCGGGTTGGACGCGGCGCAGCACCGCCCTCAGCTCGGCAGCGGAGCCGGCGCACGTGGTCAGCAGCACCGACGCCCCCGACGCCCCCGACGCCCCTGAAGCCCCCGACGCCCCCGAAGCTCCCGACGCCCCCGACGTACCTGAACCCCCTACAGACCGATTCGTAACCATACGTGATATGTCATCATCGTCATTACAGCCAGTTTCAGTCCACCGCTGAACATAGGACGACCCAGGCTGCCACTCATAACCTTTCTTGCCCAACATATAACATATAAAGTGATATGTAACAAATTTTATATTAAGATCAACAGCCTATACATATCCCACTGCTGGGCAAAAACCTCCTGTACAGAGGATATTAGATCATAGTCCATGACGCGACCCCACTGCGTATTGGCGGACTTCACATATCTTAGACATATTTTTTTTGTTATTATTTCGAGAATATGCAGGTTTCCTTACGTAGAGTAGTCTTTATGGAAAAGTCCCCATATTCCCGTACCACCGCTTAGACACGCCCAGTTCAATATTTTATGTTTCAAATTTTCGAAGGGGAAAATTTATAAATTTTACCGCTATCGTGAGTCCTGGTCTAGCATTCAAATGCAAATAAAACTGTCATTCAGGTCTTCATTTTTCACTTTCTCAATCATCCATTAACATAAAATATAATCATCAACATGAATTTAACACTCACCGGAACCGTTTGTTGTTATTCCTGAGTCATGACTGAGTCCAAGCTGTCTGTTCTCGGGCCTGGAAACGCCTGTTGATGAACCGGAACCAAGCGAACTCATTGACTCCCACCGAGACAAAGACAAAGCCCCTGGAAACATAAATCAATTATGTATCATTCTTCTTCAGATATCCACTGTTCTATCTTTCTCGTTAACTTTATATCGTATTAGTGGAGAACAGATGTATTTTATCATCAGCTTAGTTTGACCCTACCTGATGTGATGAAAAGAGATGATGAGGATTTGACCTCCATGATCTTTGGCGGTGAACGCACTAACTCAGTATTAGCCGCTTATAAATTATATATATAAAGATAAACACCTAGACACTAGAAAGCTACATAAAACCCTAAGTTCATCACACAATATTTTTCCAGTAGTAGGGATAGAACCCACACACTCTAGCGCAACAGACAGGGTCACTTTCAACCACGCCAATTGGGTCTTCATCTCAAATATTTTTCCATAAAAATTCCCTGGAAATAATTTATATGACAAAACCACGTTTGCCTGATCAGCTGCCTGAGGAACTGTTCGGGTTGATACCTGCTGGTGAATTTCACCATCATACAACTCGTCAAACCGCCAAGTACCATCGACACCACCTTGATGGTTGGCGGTCCACCACTGTACGTTTTCACGCAATATTCGGCCCCACACAATTACTTTGTGAAACAAGTTGTCGCCAGCGGTATTTCCGCACCGATCCGACTTAGGGACCTTCAAGAAGAGAGCCTATTCCTACCTGAAAGGCCGGCAACGCAATTGCGACGCAACTGATGTTGCAAATGTCAATGGGCGGTGGTGATCACTTATCATCAGATGACCCGCTTGCTCGTTTGCCTCCTATTTCCATAAAAAAGCTAGTTTTCATATGAAAAAGTCAGTCGACTCACCCGAAGCAACTCTCCCCGCGTTGAGGTGGCTGTAGGGCTGCAGCAGGCCCCAGAGGTCTGCGCAGTTGGCGACGGCGTGGTCGAGGGCGGCCGGCGTGATGGGCGCGCCGGTCGAGCCGCTGCCGGCGATCAGCGCTATCTCCTCGAGGAGGCACTCCATGCCGGCGCAGAGATAGATCGCTGCGTACCTGAAGATATCTTTACGTTTATCAACATACTTTTAGAAGATTTAAGGTAGGTTCAGTTAAGGGAGTTGATAACACTTAAAATGGCATCACCACATTCGTCGTCGTAAATATGAATATTATATGCTGACTAGTACTAATATATACAATATGCTAACACGTAACCACGTACCATCTGGTATGATGGTAGACGCGCAACAGCCTCTAAAAAGTGAGCATTATTAACCTTTCCGAGATAACAAAAAAAAACGTATTTAGGTACATATGTACGAACGTGAGAGTTAACACATCTTTGGCGGAACGAAATAAAAATCCACACGAAAGTACCACCATCGTAAAAATCCACTCTCATCATTTCCCTAATGCGCCAAAAGGAATATAACTCCAGAAAGAGAAGGCTAGAGAAAGAGGGAGGCACTAACTCGTGGACGAAGGGCGCAACGCGCACGTCCAGCATCCAGCGCTGGAAGCGGCCCGGCGCGATGCTAGAGAAAGAGGGAGGCACTAACTCGTGGACGAAGGGCGCGACGCGCACGTCCAGCATCCAGCGCTGGAAGCGGCCCGGCCGCGAGGCTAGAGAAAGAGGGAGGCACTAACTCGTGGACGAAGGGCGCAACGCGCACGTCCAGCATCCAGCGCTGGAAGCGGCCCGGCGCGAGGCTAGAGAAAGAGGGAGGCACTAACTCGTGGACGAAGGGCGCAACGCGCACGTCCAGCATCCAGCGCTGGAAGCGGCCCGGCGCGAGGCTAGAGAAAGAGGGAGGCACTAACTCGTGGACGAAGGGCGCGACGCGCACGTCCAGCATCCAGCGCTGGAAGCGGCCCGGCGCGATGCTAGAGAAAGAGGGAGGCACTAACTCGTGGACGAAGGGCGCGACGCGCACGTCCAGCATCCAGCGCTGGAAGCGGCCCGGCGCGAGGCTAGAGAAAGAGGAGGCACTAACTCGTGGACGAAGGGCGCGACGCGCACGTCCAGCATCCAGCGCTGGAAGCGGCCCGGCGCGAGGCTAGAGAAAGAGGGAGGCACTAACTCGTGGACGAAGGGCGCGACGCGCACGTCCAGCATCCAGCGCTGGAAGCGGCCCGGCGCGAGGCTAGAGAAAGAGGGAGGCACTAACTCGTGGACGAAGGGCGCGACGCGCACGTCCAGCATCCAGCGCTGGAAGCGGCCCGGCGCGAGGCTGGTGCGCGCCCTGGCCGCCGAGCCCAGCCGCCGCGCCGCGCTGCCGGACGTCGCGTACATCGTGGCGGCTCGCTGGCAGCCCTGCGGACAATGCGGATTCCCGTTAGACGCCGCTTTCATGAGAAGGCGGCAACTAAGCTGGCGGTTCACCCCATGTTATGTGGTAACCGCCGCCCGAGGGTTGCAGATGCTGACACCTTTCAATAAAGTAGCTCCCGGCTATCTCGCCCATCAGGCGAAATGCAGGAGTATCACATTCTGTGGTAATTACCCGATGGGCTCCCCCCATGATCCAACCTGATCATCCAGGCTACATCCAAAATTGCGGCCCTAACAAAAAAATAGTGGTCGTGGGTTCGATTTCCACATGAGACAAATATTTGTGTGACCCACAGATAACAATTTTCCAGATCTGGGTGATTGTTTCCCAAACAGGGTTGTCGGGCATAGACACAGCTGAAACCGTTTACAACATGATTCCCATGTTGTGCCGACCCGACCTAGGTGGGATAGGGGCAGAAGGATAATGATGACGATGATTATGGATTTTTGTTAGAAAACTTGGATCGATTCGTACTTTGATGCACGAATCCGCTAGCGGCGTGCTGAGCACGATCCGGAACGCGCCAGCCACCTCGTGCTTCGAGCAAAAGCCGAAGTTCTGCGACAGACGTTGCGCCTCCCGTGCGACGCGCACGAGCGCCCTGCGAATGTTCAACAACATTAACATAACATAACTGGTTTTAAAGTCAAAGTCAAAACTTCTTTATTCAATACGAGTATAGACCTATTTTAAGCTCTTATTAAACGTCAAAAAGTACCATCAGGTCACTAATCTAGACCTGCCCAGAGAGGAACCGGCAAGAAACAGAGGTCATATTTTTTCTCTCTCTTTTTTAAATTATTAAGTACACAAAAGTATTTAATTATAAAATTAGTAGCACCTAGGGGACTTGCAAGTGCAGAGCAAGAGTAATTTCCACACATCCTTGTCCTCAATTTTTTCCTCGACATCATAATAGGCGCTTAATTGTTTGTAGATGTCACCTATTTTATTATATAAGTTAATACATCCACCAAGAAACAATTTCTTGGTTTTTGCTAAAACTCTGTATTCCCAGCTTTCAGATCTGTTGCTCTCTCTCTACCAGTCAACCGACACATGAAAAGAGAATTAGAGGCGCGAAAGAGCCCAATTGAGAAGTAAAGCAAAATAATATGATTTTATATAAAATATATAAATAATAATATATTTTATATAAATCCTTTTTTCTCTTTCTTTTCTGTAATTGCTCATCTTTACCGGAAGATCTAAACAGTAAGGCTTTATTTACCGTTGCAATAAATAAGCCAGCCTCGGCGGGGTGTCGGGCGCCATCTTGGCCGCGACCTCCCTACATCTTCCGTTCTGTAGCGCGCGACTCACTTCGCTCGCCGTCCACGGCACGCATCGCAACTCCACAAGTCTACACAAAGATAATTTACATTCAGATTCAAACAATTTAATCCATATTCAATAACGTAATTCGTAAAGTTGAAGTAATAAGATATTGCCAGCTGTTATGTAGTGAATAGACAGTCAAAAAACAATATGTTCAATGTACGTCAAAATAATTAACTTGGGTTCCAGGCAGTACCTTCTTACTGTGGGAGCTCAACTTATAAGCCACACCCTTTTCAAATTTCATTTGTATCCGTGACGCACAGATTTTCGCTTAAATAACGACTGGTTGAGCCACGCAAAAGCATATGCTGTTTCAAATACGGTTCAACTCACTCGGAGAATTACCACGACCTCATAGAAGACCGGCGTGAAATAGAATTATTGTACTGTTTCGTTTCGTTTGGTGAGTGAGGTAATCGTGGACCCACTGTTTATCCATCGGTGGCGGTAATCGAATAACTTCGGTTGAACCCAGGCCTGATATTAAGTGATTGCCAACTAACTCGCTAAAATTGCTTACCGAATTTTCAATTTATAAAAATACTTTATACAGTTCGTTACAAATTTAAATAGCAAGTAGTAGCAATAAATGCGAGTAGAAGTAACTACGTAAGTTTGGTTTGTGTAAGAGATTAGGTACTTGAAAAAGAATTAAAAGAGCTAATTTAAGTTCTGTTAGGTCTTTACGAAGCGTGGGCTAAATAATAAATGCAATGTGCGAATGAATGAAAGATAGTAGGAATTAATAAACAAACGTCTCAAAAATAATAACAAAAATAACTCACCTGTTATGCGAGTCCACCCATACGAATTCGTCGGCGCTGGTGACGTTGGTGCAAACGGTGTCCAGCGAGGGTTGGCGTACCAAGGGGGCGCGTCTTCTGCGCGCCTCGGCTGCACTGCCACCATCTAAAGATGGCGGTGAATTAGTTATTACTCTTTTACAATCGTTTTTGATCCCACTGAAATCGAAATGGTTGCGTCCGGAACGCATTTTGATCTGCAACGCATTTGCAAGCCCTCCGGTGTTGCTGGGCGTTGAGATGTTCATGGGCGGCGGTGCTCACTTACCATCAGGTGAGCCTCCTGCTCGTTTATCGCTTTTTTCCCATAAAAAAGAAGAAAACAACGTCCTTGCGTGCCGTGTAGCTTGTAGTAGTTTTGATCACATGATACTTGACAAATTTTTGTATAATCCAAAAATAGATTATCTGAGTCTGCATGTACTTTGTATTCGTGCTTTCATGTTTAATTTTTATTATAAATAAAGTTTAGAAATATGTTATCATCCCTAAGATCACGCATTAAAACTAATTGTTTCGGTATCAGCAATCCATCCACACCGTGTGATGGCCGCAGTTTAAGCTTAATAATTTTAATTAGTGTAATAATTTTAATTAACCGAAAATTAGATTTATGTAAGTTGTTAAAATTTTCTAACATAAAACTATGCAAAGGTCATTTATCTTTTCTTTCGCCTGATTCTTCTCCGTTAGAGGAACCTCATTATAAAACGGTGGTAGAATTAAATAATAAATAAATAAATTTTGATTTGCTTATAAACTCGACCGTACAACCCACCTGGCGCACCGGCGTTGCTGGCTCCACCACCACTGGAAGCGCCGCTGGTGGCTGTACTACTGCTGTCTCTAGAGCGCAGGGTCAGCTGCTTGATGGCTGACCTGATGTCTTCCAGGCCACCGCCACCCGGCCAAGGGGATTGCAGCTGCAATTCCATATCAATGTTAGCAAAGAGGAGAAATAAGCCCACTTTATTGAAAGGCACCGCATCTGCAAACCTACGGGTGTTGAAAGTGTACATGGGCGGCGTTATCACTTAACATCAGGTGAACCACAAGCTCGCTTGCAACCTTCCCACATAAAAATAAGCTTTCTTACCACGTAAGGATACTTAATCTGCATATGGCTGTCAAATTGCGTATCAAGGGGGAGGAATATAGCTCTGATGATGTTATGTGATATGATGAATCCATATACATATATGTATCTATATACTTGCGGCTATGTTGATTTTAAATTTAAAAGGATATATTCTACTATACTCGAATTTGACTACAGAGCGTTTTGCAAAAAAGAATATTTCCCAATTGTATGAAGTTTGAAACAGACTTCATGGTTTCTCTGTACCTTAAATTGGTAAAATATAATTAGAATTGTTCATTAGGGTCTCCCATCGTTAACGTTTTCCGTCTTGTAACTCAGAAGAAGGAAACATTAACTCGTATAACATCGACGGAAGTGTTGCGAAGTCGGCGGTGCCACCGCCACTAGAGCAATAAGTTGAAACGTAATTGCATTGGAGCTTCCGTTTGCCGTGGCAGTTATTGCTTGAGCGATTTATGCTTGTAAAGCGCTTTCATATCTCATGTTTTTCCATTTTATCCAGAATTATTGTGGTCGGCTGACTGGGCTTACGTTGGAGATAGTTCCGTGAGTGACAAATGATTTATGGCATAAATACCGATCTTGGGTAGTTAAATTTAATAAACGCTATTCGATTATACGATAGTTGATTATTTGCAAAATTGTAAGAATATAGATTTGTCTATCTCTATGTTATAAGACGTGACAAAATGCATTTGTGTTTGAGGGAACCAATGAAATTGTGTTTTCTGGACCACATAATTTATGCTTCGTGAGCAGACTCACGACATCTTATAAGGATTGTTGATGGGTGACTGAAGTAATAATACGTATGTAAGGTTAATGTTATTTGGAGAGAAACTATGAAGTTTTGAGGTAACAAACATAAACACAAAAATATACAACCAAATTGTTAACCTCCTTTTTTGAAGTCGGTTATAAGGATCGGAAAGTACCGTATTGTGGGCACCGCACCTATTCCGTGCAGATGACAAGATTGCATTATAACTTTTAATTAAAAAAGTGAACAGTACTTAAAATCAATGACTGCTGCTCAGCAATATTTTAATACTATGCCCTACTGCTACACTCTGATATCAATAAGATCGATAGACAATTAAAACCAAACGTCGTTACACTCATACCCTTGTATTCTTCGTTGTTTAATCTTTGTCCGTCACCAAAAGGTGGTTGTGCTTCCGAGTTGATACTTCGCAGAAGTACTGCTACTTTGTCGGGGGTTACAGTCCTAGCTTTTTATTCTTCGTTAAATCTTTGTCCACCACAAAAAGGTAGCTGCGCATTTGGGTTAACACTTCGCAGAAATACTGATACCTAGGGATATCGAAAAAATATCGATATGTCGATAGAAATTATTCTTAAATTGTAACACTAGTACAAAACAAGAAATAATCGTATCAACAATGATATTATTTCAAATTCGAATTCGGCTAACAGTCCGTAGGTGTCAAATATTTCATATTTGTAAAGTAAAGTAAAGCAAAAGCCTATTCATGTCCCACTGCTGGGCAAAGGCCTCCTCTATACAGAGGGTATCAGGGCATAGTCCACCACGCGGCCCCACTGCAGATTGGCGGACTTCACATATCTTCGAAATATTTTTTTGTTATTATATCGAAAACATGCAGGTTTCCTCACGATGTTTTCCTTCACCGCGGAGATATTGATATTTTTAGACATCCCTACTGAAACATAGCCCAATATTAATATTTTTATATCACTTTCGACATCCGTACCGATACCTTGTTGTGGGGCCGGTGCTTGGCGCGCGCGTGCGGCGGCTGCCTGGGGCGGCGCGGCTCGTCGCGGCCCGCGTCGGCGCCCCCGCTGTCCGACATGGACGCGTGGCCCGAGGACCGGTTCTCGTCCGAGCTGCTGTTGCACTCGCGCACCCCATTCTGGAAGCAGAAGCCTGTACAGCGACCCGCGATATCGCACTGCAGAAAGAGAGGCAAGAACATTCGACTTTGACATGAGGACTTTCTGCTGTCTTGGAAATCGAAAAAAAAAAATTTCTGGTAAATTCGTTTCATGTCGCTGTTGAGCGAACGACACTGTCATTTGCACCTGTCGTTTAGTTTACAATAGTTAAAATGCATTCTCGGGGCAAACTATGAAAAGCGAGATCCAGGTCAGCCATTGCGACGCGAAGAGGGGGCAGACACATAAACTTTCGCATTTCCTATATCAGTGTGATCATTTAATTCCTAGTACCCGGAGGAGGTTTGTTTTTTTTTTTTTTTTTTTTTTGGTAAATCGTATATTTTGGAAATTACATTTAGATACAAATTACTGAGTAATGAAATATGCATAACATTTTCCGATCTTACCGACGTAATAATAAGAAAATACGAACTGATGTTTTTCACAAAAGAAATAACTTAAAAAAAAGGGGAAAAAAAAATACAAAATAACAAATCGACAAAAAATTAAAAATAAAGAAAGCAAGGATCTGGAATCGAAAAAAAGTAAAAAAATAAATGTGTATGTCATCGTAATGACATTTTCCCTTGCGGCGAAATTTACCGTCATATTCGAATTATATTTTTCATTCCCTGAAAACAGGGATAAAAGGACATTTTCTAAAAATTAAACCTAGCTAGATCGATTTTTCGCCCCCGGATCTATGCACATACTAAATTTCATGAAAATCGCTGGAGCCGTTTCCGAGATTCCGATTATATATATATATACAAGAATTGCTCGTTTAAAGGATAAGATTCATATTTAAAAATTATTGCGAGGTGCAAGTGCACGAATCGTTTATGCAACGAAGAACAGTACATTCCCATAACATAACCAAATTAAAAACTGCAACTTTTTATCCCGGCTTGGGAAAGAGCTTCATTCAGCTGCCAGATTCAAGATGGCGTCTATTGTGGTACTTTCGCTTTCGGGTAGGCAGCCGCGGCTTCCCACAGATTACGCCTTTCCCTATCGCGAGATCGTGGGATCCCGTTGCAGACAATGCTATTTAGTTTTTTCCGACGTCACTTTCGCTGTTACGAGACGAGCTTAGTAATCAGCGACGTCTTATTAGCGAGTCGAGTGTGATGTCGGAAAAACGAACACACTAACTCACCGGTACAGAGTCGTCGCACTTTCTTCAGGGCACTTATTGACTATTTTGTCGCTTCTAAACAGGCGCTTAATTATTTTTTATTACAGTCTAATTTTTTTTTGTGACTCGATGACGCAGTTGCTAAGATATTGGCTTCGGCGCTGAGTGTAGTGTGTTCAATTCCCACATGGGAAAGTATTACTGTGATCCACAGATAATTGGTCCGGAAGTCATCCAGCCGGCCGTTACATAAACCGAGTCAAAGCCATTGACATGTTGTCATGGGGTCATCACAATATGATTGACATGTAGTTTTTAGTGTTCCGTACCCAAAGGGTAAACGGGATAAACGGGACCATAATATGGTCCCGTTTACCCTTTAAACACTACGGCAATTATCAGGATTGAATATAATGTTATATATTTTCTTAGCATGGACAGAACCACACGATATTTGTTTACCTTAATCGCCTTATGGCATGAGTACGTATATATGTTTAAATTTTATTTTACTATAAAACCAATGACGCTGGTGAATTAGCTATGTACCACACACTGAAACATGTTGAAATTCGATTGCTTAACGGACAAACTTAATGATATGTTGTACAAACTCCGCCGCGAAGGTTTTTATGTTGCTAAAATATTCGAAGAAGCAATGCAACAGAAGCTGGACATGAACAAGTTGCGACTAATGAATTGCCGGTTCTCTTAGGACATAATTCTCGGAATTCACACAAATTTTTCGATTAAATTGATTTGGTAGTGGAAAAGAAGATGATTTTTGTGCAATATCGACGGTAAATTTTGGACATTTCATGTCAAATTGTTCCGAGTTCTAAAAAAGGATCATCTGCGATACTGACAGATAAAATAATTATTGAACAAGTTTAAGATACAGGCTACTGTATAGACAAGTGAAAACTTACTATTCCGTAAGACGGTAAACGCACAGCTCTGTAGAATCATGGTCAGGATACCCAGGTTGATATTATAGATTATTTTACATAAATATTGCTCATTCGCCTTTCGATACCAGTAAAATACCCTTATTACTTCCAATAGAATAAATATTTACAATTTACCGACATTATCTATTTGTTTCATGTAATGTTCGGTGTCACAATAGACAACCCGCGTTACTATGGCCAATAAAGATTTTGTTAAGCATTCAAGAGCGGGATAATGGCTAGCCTACGCAAAACGATAAAATATTTCAAAGTGAGTGCGCTCGCTTTAGCAGCGAGGAAAGAAATCGGATACCATGGGCATGTGTGGAGCGACTTGAGTTATTTGATAATTATATCCAGAGTTACAGGCGTAGCAACATTTAAGCACACATTGAACAACGATAGGCATGTCGATGGCGGATACGGCTATAAACCCTATTTAGAGTTATATTATTTCCTGTGGTATATATACCACTCTATGCCACTATTAAATACACATTTGCGAGATCAAACTGAAGGTGAAGCGTTTTGCTGAAAGCTAAGCTTTCTATCATAGCTCATATCCCCGCAACACGAAATTGCTCATTGAAGAGAGCCCAGAGCTAATTCGAAATAGATATCAAACGTTGCGATGTAATATGTAAGCGTCACAGCAACGGACCGTTTCGACAATCAATAAATAGTAATGAACAGGGCGGGCGAAAGCCCTCGACCAGTTTTATCAAAGGACGAGGATACGATGCCGTAAATCCTAGTGGGACCAGCGTTAATGGCCACCATTACACTGCTCGGCCAATAAACAGTTTTACAACCGGCAACTTAAAGTATGCAACGACACCGATGATTAAATGGCAGGTTACAATTAATTAATGGTAACGATGATACTATTAAGCCGTTAAGATTTGTTTATTTATGTGACGGATTAAGTAGATCTATGAACGATAATATCTCGTTATCGTAATTATAACTTTTAATGTATGTGGATAGAAGATATCGCAGCATAACATAAGGTACGCTATTCACATTGCTCGCAGACAGTTGCACATAGTCCGGGCTGAGTAAAACTGGTATTTTAGGTTAGGTTCAAAATAATATCAGATTTTACTTTAACTTTAACTATTTTAACTATTCTTTATTGGATGCCAGCCTTGCGGGTCGTGGCGCACGTGACCCAAAGACAATTGTGTTTGTCCATGTGAAAGTTGTTTATATTAAACATCTTAACGTTATCAAATTTATCTGAATACACATAACTATACAGTAAAGTAACAGCCTACACATGTTCCACTACTGGGTAGGTCTCCTCTGTAAATAGAGTATTAAGGCATAGTCCATCACGCGATCCCACCGCGGACTGACAGATTTCACATATCTTCGAAATATTTTTTTTTGTTTTATTTCGAAAATATGCAGGTTTCGTCACTATGTTTACTTGCACCGCTGAGCACGTGATTACACAACTAACAAATTCATTGATGCCGACAGTTGAACTCGATTTGAACCCAGTTTGCTCAAGTATATTGAATAAAAGTCGAGCCTCCACGGGCAATGAGCAATCACGACTAGTTACAGAAGGTTCAACAAGTAGTGTATCACATATTCCACAGAAATCGTAACACTAAGAGCTTGTTAAGGCGGTATATCAAATTATATCGAACAAAACACAAGAACTTATCAAATGCAAACTAATATTGCGTCGGCTAACACGGACCATATGGTCGCACTTCGCAATCAACAACTGGCATAAAAGTAGAAACGCAACAGAAATTATTTATACAATTACACGAATTACATTTGGATTTTTTAGTCATTATCTTGAGATTCTATATGGAAGTATATGTTAGCTTATTAGAAATTATGTTGATTGTAATATTTATATGTTACTAACTACTGGCATATTGCGAACAAAACAAACATACTCAAATAATTGACATTGAAATACATTCTTATGTTTTGGTTAAATTAAAGTAATTGGTTGTAAATTTTGCTCTCTATTAATAATAAATTTATATTAAAACGCCCTTACACATCGATCGAGTTTGGATTAGTAATAACAGCATGATAATTCCCGAACGGCTCCATTATAAATTTAAAATTTATTAATGTTTTACCTACAATATTACTTTACAAACATACAAACCGCAAAACATAACGGCAATCATGAGTTGGCCACAGATAGTTTGAATTGCAATTCAACACCTGCACCTTTACAGTAGCGATTTCATCCGCGGTTAACTAGAATTGTCTATTAACTAAACAGTCGTTAATTGTTTCGATGTACAAACAGCGATGCTTACCTAATACAAATTCATTTTGTTAGTTGTCAAGATGCTGATGATGATGTCATTCAAAATATAGGCTGGTTATATCTAATACGGTGTTTTTGAAATTGGGAGACTTTCTTTAAGCATCCGCATGAGTGGAAGCAGTTTAAAAGAATTTGCTAATTTTATAAGGCCTTTTAGCTTTCATAGAACCCGTCTTATGTCACAAAATTCTGCTTACACTCGCAATAGCTAATCTCTGTTGTAAGTGGAGTTTTTAACGATGTTACGAGCTAATAATTCTCGCTCTAGTTAATATAGCCGTGGAATTTTTGAATCTGTACAACTTGCATTGTACATTTAATTGCCCGAGTGCTGCGTATAATACGTTCGAAATTATTTTGCGTGTGTCTTTTAATTACACTCTGTAAATTCCTATTGACAATTTTGACGCGTATTAAACGTAAATAAATGATAATAAATATTTTTACAAAAATCGTAACGCTAGGCTTGTAACCCGGCGTTGGCTGGGTTATGATTAATTAATTGGTAACTTCTTTATTAATTCTAGATATTTTATTATTCTTTATTTATTGAAGAAAGACAGCAACTTTCCAGAGATCGTGACTTGACATTGATAATGAAATGCAGATCTGCAGCCAAGAATAGTGATTTCCCTTTCGAGATCGGTTTCATTTCTTCGAGCACGTAAAGTGATTTATTTGGGTTTAAGTATTCTTTGGTGGTATCGGTATTGGTAAATTGTGAACTTATAACGCTATAGTTTTTTTAATAAATATTGCTAGCAAATACTTTTGATACTACTGATAATAAGAATCATTTTTTCACCCGTTTTTCATCGGTTACTAAATGAATAATGAGATTAAACATACAAAGTCGAGAGCATACCGCCTTTTGGCATGTTAGTATTTGGACCAGTTCAACTAGATGACTGTTTTACCTCATCACCAGCGAATAGATTATGATGTACGATGGTTATCTAAAAATTATTAATATATATCGTAAAACGATCTCCAATCTCAAATATTTAGATGAGCCAGTATTGACACATTGATACTATGAGGCGGCTAAAGTTTTGCCGATTAAAGACTCAATCAAAAATAACGGCGGAGAAAGGTGCGCTTTTACTCTCTCGCAGTTTTATTCACACGGTACACAAATAAGGTAAGCGCATTACTTACTTGCACGGGTTGTACCGTCTCCATGGAGCGATGGTGGTGATCATGCTTGGGGGCCCTCCTCTCCAGGGCATAACTGCTCTGCGCCGGGGCACTGCGCACTGGTGCACTTGCCACCGTTATCTGGGAGACGGCTGCCACGGGCTTCAGCTGGGCCGTGCTCGGCGAGTCCGTGGCTGGTGGCGTCGCCTCTTCGTGATTAGCTGTGGACAAATTTTTATACATATTAACGGTGACGAAACGATATGACCTCACTAGGATTCATGTTTAACAGAAATAGGAGAGAATTCTTCTATTCCGATAGCGATTTCATCTTTAAGTTTTCAAAGGGGAAAAGTACGCATTAAATAGTTGTAGGTACATAAAAAAATCTAGTGAGAAAAATATGTCCATATAGTATAGTACTACGAAAAAATCAGTTTGGCCAGACTGTATAGTTTCGACCACTAGTCGAGTTTTCAACCGCTACTCATACTACCGCAACCAATTAACTACCGCCCATTAAACTACCTTTAATTTAATACGCCTAAAGGCACTAACCTCATTCACTTTATTTATACTGTAAATTTACACGGGGTCCACGTAATTCATGTTCCTCCTGCAAATGGTCGACTAATTCGACCATCATTGCCTATTACCATCAACAAGTCGTCTGATGAACCATGTACATAGCGGTTCATCGGTTGATTAGTTTAACTTCGCATTTAACTTACGTCGGAGAGTAACGTGAACAATATTAACAAATCTTAGGTGCTACAATTATAATACTGAGAATGTTGCGAGATTTTAGAATAACTATCGTAATCTCATTCAACCTTTAGCCGTAACGGTTATAAGAATGAACTAAGGAAATACCAGATAAATCTCGAGGCTTGAACATTTATGCCGCGTTACTAGAACGGTAACAGACGCTGACGCCACTACTACTATATCTTGAAAGCTCCGCTAGTCAATTGGTACGACGATCAAAGCATTTATGTATCTCCTGAACTTGATTTATTATCTACTTGGTGTCTTAGTACGTAAAGATAATAATGAAGACTTAATAAGAATTAATAAAGACTTTTCTCTTAACGTAAATGAGTAACATTATATAAGAACATTATTAATTTATGGATTTTATTGCGTTTAAATTTTTTTAAACTCTTCGCGTGTACGTATATAGAGCAGCCATAGTCGTATATACGTTTATAGAGCAGCCATAGTCATGAGATAAGATTGTAGTGTTTAGCATTCAAACTTCTTAGTTAATCCAGGTTATCGCCTTATCAAATCTGAATGTATTTAGAACATATGTCCAATGATCCATTGCGCCCAAGTACTATTAGTCCATCACAAGATGCAGGAGTGTGCTTCTCTTTAAATATAGTTTCTCTACAAAATGGGGACTTAAAGGCATAGATAATATCTAAAACTTACTTTATTTAATAATAATATTGAATCACTAACACTAAAAAATCGTTGTTGTTTCAATCTTCAATCGATTGTTTCAGTTGACGATGGCGATATTAATAATCAGCTAGTATGAATGCATCATTATGAACTATTGAGCTGAATGCAATTATGCATGACCTATATATAACAGAGACGATATCAAAACCGAAGAATAGGCTATTGGTTATTGTTAATATCAAGAGTATAATTGATATATGTAATAACATTAAAGTCTATAACGCGTGAATTCGCCATCTTTATGAACGTGTTGTGACGAAAAAAAAGAAAAAGGGTTTTCAAATTCAAAGTTTGAGGTACAATACTTTTATTCCATTTGATTTTTAATAATGTCATCATAACTCTGAGCATATTTCAGGTAGTAATCCAAAAACGGATACTTAGGTACCTACTGTTAATAACACACAGTTTTTAACAATTCGAGTATCCGTGTCGTGTTGACCTTATAAAACCTTAAAACGGAATAATCAGCGAGCCTGGTACCGTTGCCAGGGCACAATATATTATTTATTCTACATTATTAATTAAGTCACGTCCCGTTAACTTCCACGCAATCGGAACGTCGAGCTGGTATCCGAGATCGAATAGTGCGGCGAATAGATACGATTCTGCGGAATTGGATCGTATCTTGATCGGGTCGCTCGTAAGCTCGCAATTTGCTGCTGCCGCTGACCATTTCGGGGGGATCCCTGACCGCGGGAATGTTGAAGCGCGGCAGGTCGACGACCACGTCGCGTTCTATCGCGCGTATCTGTTGTTCCTGATGAATTTATTGTGATAGGGCAACGCAACAGCTACTGCAGTTGCACGAATGGGCAGACTCGTCTGGGAAGTGCCGCGGCCTCGCAGAAGAGTATCGTGAAGGGCAAATATACGACTTTCGCGTGTCTTGTGGTGAGTGATAACCGGGGCCCAGTATTTTTAAGGGTTGGCGATGCGCCTGCAAAGCGATATTGTTTATCTCCACGGGTGGCAGTAAATACCTAACTCGCTTACCAAATATCACATAAAAATGTGTCGTAAATAGGTGCACAGCACCTATGAGAATTAATTGCAATATTGGCCGCCTAAAATATAAAAATGTTATAGTGTATGATAGGAAAAACTAGTTTGAACGCATTTGCAAGCCCTCCTTTGGTGTAGATGACTATTAGTAGAGGTAATTACTGAACATCAGGTGTTTATTCGTTTGATAACTTTTGCCATAAAAAATCCTTGTTTTTAACGAATTATACACATTTTTATTTATTAGGCAAGTATCTGTTTTAGATTATAATTAGATAAGTCTGTTCCGTGGATGCTGTAAAACGTTCTAGAAGTAGTAAATTTGATTTAAAAAATATTTAACAAAGACGAGAATTCAATTCCAATGATGACTTGGCGGCGTAGATGCTAAGCCACTGGCTTCAGCGCCGTGAGGCGTGGGTTCCATTCTCATACAGAGCTGGTATTTGTTCGAAAAGATAACTGTTTTAGATCTGGTTGTTTAGTCCCAACGACGCGTAACGTCAGGTAGGTGGCGTTAGTTTTTATTGCAAATACCTTAAATAGGGATTACAAAGGGTGGACTTAATGCCTATTGACATTCCCTACCGGACTACTACCAGAGTTGGTAGTAGGCTGTGCGGTGGTACAGGCATGTAAAGAGATGGCCAGTTTAATGGCCGTGGGAAATATGCACTGCAACTTTCTGTGCCTGGGCACAGGTCCAGAGGTAGACCCAAATAATATGGAAAGATATAGTGCATGGGATAAATAATATGGAAAGATATAGGACATCATAGAGTGTCAAGCATCTGGTGACTGTGTCGCAGATAGAGCGAAGTGGAGAAGAAAAATAAGGAGAGCTGACCCCACCACCATGAGGGATATATAGCTTGGAAAAGAGAGAGAGACATTCTCTCCCAGTCAACCCGAGATGTTATGTCGTTATATGTTACACCGCTCGAAGTTAAATTTAATATGTTTAAATAATTATATGCCTTTAAAATGAATCAAATGATAGTAAATATAATATGTACCTAGCTACGATTATAACTATTGCCGGCATGTCTGTATTGTTTGAGGTTTGTCAAGGTTTATATTTTATACTATGAGTGTAGAAAACTAAAATTTATATACATCGCAACATTTAATGAAATGAAATACTCATTGATTATTAAAATTATAATATATTCATACAGTTACTCTGTTAATGTGAAAAACATGCCCCCAAATAATTTAAAAATGTCAGATTAACTAACCTACCTGTGTTTAGATCTCTCTAGGTATTTTCATTTAATTTCATTCTCATCAGTTTCACAATCGAGAAGTATAGGCCATTAACCCACACGAAAATAGATAAAGGAACAAACAAATGTCAAAGTTTGTTGCTTACAGCATGGATCATCGTGTGCGTAGTACCGAATACTATAACAGACGGATGCATAAATAAACACACATGCAAGTCTGATATTTGTAAAGAAATTATGATCTAAACAACGATACGTGTTGATGGTAACGAATACATTTATCCTAAAAAAATAGACACGTACTATTAGCTGAGCTAACATCATTTATGCCCGTTTTCACCATCGATTCCTAATTTCAAAGGGCACCTAAAAAAATTTTTGTCGTAGATTCGTTTTCACCACCGCTTAAGTGTCACCTAAAGTCTTAAGCGTGACACTTAAGCGGTGGTGAAAACGAAACTAGCACTCAAATATTTTTTGGTGTCCCTTAAAGTAAGGGATCGATGGTGAAAACGGCATAGCATGGAGAGGTAACTAGTTACGGCTCGTTATCCTGGACTGGGTATTCACACCAACGCAAGGAGAACGGTTATTTACTGACAGATCGCGTGCCGAATTGCCCCAATAGGAAATGCAATCATTTTGAAACCATAAATAAGTGTATACATAATTATGGATAAGTTGGTACATATATTTTCATTTTATGTCCTAAATATACTATTTGTATGTCTGTTCATTACGAAATGACGCGTGTTTATAAAAAGATATTAAAAAGGATCAGTTCGCTATGACTATTAAATATTTCTCAGTTTGCACCAGTTTTATAAATATTATTAACTTTTAAAATTATGTCCATTTTAGAAAGGTTTTTTAGAATTCCGCGGACTGCACATCCTGATAAAGCTTTCTTATTTGCGAGCAAGAAGCACCAACGATCTTTTTGTTTCATTTCAGCGAATCTTTGCTTTTAGGTTGATTTAAAACGAATTTTAATAGCAAAGCGGTCGGCGCCGTGGTCTAAGCTTGTACGTAATAAAGCAGCGGTTCTACTGACAGATCTTTGTTGTGGAATTTCGAAAGCGGTTATTTATGTGAACGCTTTGAACCGGTCGCGTGGTCGGAATGTTTCTTTGGCATTCAATTTGACCATAGATTAGTAAGATTAACTTTGTGCAATAGCTGCTTCTTAGCTGTTATTTAAACAGTATTTTTTTATTTAATATTATAAATACTGAGTCTCGCATCTGTTTGTACTGTATTCGATCTGCAACAGTTTGTATTTGCAAAAAAATTACTTCGAATAATACAGTAGCAATAAATTGTCAAGAATGTTTTAATGATGGGATTTGAATATAAACTACGGATTTGTCAATTTATTTAATACTAGCTTTTCGGCCGCGGCTTCGCTCGTCTTGAAGCCCTTAAATAAATATCTTTCAACCCTATACAACACTTTTTCCAATTTAGAAATTGTCCTATGTCCTTCCTCAGGCTCTATACTATCAATGTACCAAATGTCATTTAAATCGGTTCAGTAGTTTTGGAGTGAAAACGAGACAGATAGACAGAAATACTTTCGCATTTATAATATTGTAGTATGGATTAATTCGGAGCATACAAGTTTAGATCACTTACATATCCGCCTGTATAATTTATACTGGATAATAAAATACTTATACAACATTCATTTAATTCTGTTTGGGCCTGACTTTTCAAAAAATTGTTTCTTAGTACTCCCAATTATTCTCGACCCACGACGGTTTCAACTGTGCGTTGTCTTCCTGTCAGTAAATGTTAGTTTTATTTGTCAGCAGTCGTGCGGCGTTGGGAATAAAGCCACCACTTATTTCGCACGTACTCAACCGAAATTTACTTATAATTGAGACGGAAGCCCATTCATTACTTCAAAACAAGCTCGCGATGAATGACATCTGATGTAAGCTTCATTAAACCGGCGCAAGAAGCTGTTATTGCGAAAATTAGATTGCTTATGCAAAAAATGAACTGGCAGGTAGTGAATTAGCGATCTTGGTGGCTAGGACACGGCAAAAGATTTAGAAGTAAAAATTATTTTCACGTGTAGAATAGAAGATGTATTTTAAAACTGGTAGACATTATTTAATGTCATTCCTTATATGATAAAATACCGTTTTATTTATTAATAGTAATCTGATTTATGGTTGAATGGACGCTTAAAGGACAATTTAATGATTTTCTATATTTTATTCGTTAAGATGCAATATGTTGGCGTATCGTGCGATTTCCCATTTCTTATTAACAACGTAGATTATTTCAAGCAGAGCTGTGAAAATCCAAAATTTAAAGCCCTCTAGGATTTATAACGTAAAAAAATATCTGTGAAGCTTAGAACTTGTTATGTGTAACATGCGTTTATTAATTGGATATTACTTTACACTCTTACGTTTATTTGGTGGGTCTGCAGGAGGTGGAGGGGTTGTAGCGCGATGCGCTGGCGGTGGGGGGGACAAGCGTCTAGCGTGAGCGGGTGCTGCGCCCCCTGAAACGCGGACTCGCAATGCACGAGCGCCCCCCGCAGCGCTGACGCCCGCAGGAGCGCCAACGCCCCCCGCAGCACCAACGCCCCCGGTACCGCCACCCGCAGTACCACCGGCCCCGCCAACGGCCCCGATTCCGCCAACGTTTCCAGAAACTCCTGGTACCCCTCCGCTCCAAGCCACTTCCTCTGAAGGTCGGCAACCGCTTGAGGGCCTGCATGGAGAAACGTTCAAAAAGGTTCACTTAAGTATATCACTGCAGGAAACTCAAATAAATTTATCAAATCAGACAAACTTCTCACGCCGTTGATGGTCTTCTCTTATTAACAAAGTTATGTCGGAATAAATTACGGTAAAGTCCAGCGTTTATGTTAAAATTTCGTTAAAGCAAATTTTTCGCATTTCTTTTAATAGTATAATACATAATGTACAAATAAATTTAATTCAAAAATGCAAAATTGTATTCATATCGGAATTCGACTCTGAAACGCTCCCTTCCTAAAAAAATATGGACTATAAATCACGCGGTAACGATTTGCTCACAGTTAATAAATGAAATACACAGGCTGGTTTACTTAAAGAGATATTTAAGGAACGATAAAATTAATTTAGCACGTATAAAAATAAGTTGTATTCATTTGGCCGAACTCAGTCCGTAAACAACATTCTACGATGATCTTTACGTAACATATTTTTTAATTAACTTACATAATGAGATCAGCTCTCATACATTACTATGTCACCGCAATAGTGCAAATGTGAGGTTGACTTTTGCAAAACAATTTCTTCCATAATATGATATTAACTTTTGCGAAACTAAATGGTTATGTGATGATATTTGAATAGCTATTTTTGTCCCCCTTGCGTCAATATCGCTGTTATTTGGGGCCTTGGCCTGTCGAATCTTTTTGTCGCAAACTATGCCATTCATCTCATTAGCGAAAGGGTGCAGTGCCGTTTCTAGTTTGTAGGGACCAATGGTACAGTTCATCATCAAGGCCTCCTTAATTGCACCACCAAAGCACTAGGTACACAGCGGTTAGTGTTTCACCGCAATTGACGCGTCTTTTCAAGATAAATAAATAATAATTAACTATCGGTTTCAATATCCAATCGATTCATGATCCAATGACGTTTAATACTCGTAATATAGATTGATTGATGATTGCTCCGTTTTAAATTACCTATATGACATACATAAGTGAATGTGACAGATGATGTAGAACGTATGATATGGAAAGAGATAGCAGTCTATAGTTTTGCAATCAAATGACACCAATTGGCGTAATTTGAGTGCCTCATTTTCTGTGTGCTAGTGTATATACTTCGTATTTAAATATAATACCGTTGATGATTTGGTTACTAGCGATAGCTATTTGACTTTAGGTCTCTATTACTTACGTCAAAATTGTATCTCCACTAACCAAATCTATCCGTAGATCGAATATTGAAACTGACCGTTAGATGCGTTGTCGGAACAACAGCACACAACAAACATCTATACAGTGTCTGTTTATAAATTTGTCTGTTTTAGGATTTCAATGCATTATTTTTAGTATTTCAATTTGTTATAGAAGTATATTTAAATACTATACACATATTTTAATCCAACACAGACGTTATTTACATTGTCCCGTACAGCTGCCCGTAAACCTTCTTGACCTTCCTGACATTCATAAATACTGTCTCCAGGTCTTTCCTGTAAAGCAGTTGGAGAAATATAGTGCCTCCTACAAGAAGGCTTTTAAACGCCGTACGGAATCATGGATTTACTACCCAGTTGGTATCACGGATTATAATTAATTGAAAACGTTGATTTATAAAATACGGCTGAACATCAGAAAATGAAATTTACAATACCTATATGTTTTACTCCTTTTGAATACTCAATACCTGGAAATGCTGTTGGAAAATATACGGATTCTGAAGACCACTTGTGTCGAAGCGTGGAACATTTCCATTCAAATTCAAAAGGAATAGTAAATCCTCATTGTGATTACATTAAATAAGATGTCAAATAATTGTGTTACATTAGAAATTAAATCAAATGACAAGTTTTCCATTACTCCGTGGTTAAAAAATCTAGAGAGAACAGACTCTGCGCGTACCACCAGAATAAACAGTAGTGACAAGTGTATTTTGCGTTACATATCATTGAAAACAAATATGCTTGTATTGTAATATTTCTATTCATATTTACAGCTCACTAGTTCTTTGCCCATAGCTTATGCTTGTGGAATAAGAAATGTCATATATTTCTATCGTATGACAGCTCATATTCCGAATCAACCTTTCAATATAAGAGAAATGTGAACAAACACAGAAAAACTATCGTATAGTATTAGGACCACGTTGTATACCTTTGCCTTTCTTTACTGCATTCGTAGTACGATATTTTACATTCTCAGATAACCTAACATAACCGGCACTGGATGAAGCACAAGTCATCGTAAAGTATATACGTCCGAAGCCAGCATCCGACATTCTGCTAGTGAGCATTAGCCGTCGATTTTCAACTGGGGACTACGATCGTGACAACTGAGTGCGAGTAAGTACCCCTCATGCATGATGCATTCGGACTTTCACCCGAACAGGCAACATTCAGGGTTATCTGTAAACACCGGCTGGGGGACTTCGTGCGGAAAAACCAATATCTTCGCTTCCAATTTAACACAACTTTGATGGAATAACTGCCCGTGTAAGACGGTTGTGGTTTCACACAACATTATTATACATAAGAAATATTTCTATTAGCAATGAAAGCCGACTGTGAGACGATAGAAAAAGATAATAAGCACACAGTTAAAACATTCGTGTAGATTTGTTACGGAGGCTAAAACTGGACTATGCACAGCTGGCGAGGAAAACTCTTGTCTATTATTAAATCTACTACGAAATTTCTACCCGGACCGTCCCGGGCCCGTTTTCCTTTGAAGCGTGTTCCTTTGATTTTAAACAGCGCTGTTAATGGCGCGATCAACTGTTCCATATAGCGGGCCATTTGTGTAACGGCTTTGCTTGAATTCCACCGGCGAATATGGAGCCGTGACTAAAGTGGCGATGTGGCGATGGCGCGTCCAATCGACCAGCCGCTCGGGCCGAGCAACTGTGCACCGACCGTTGTGTCACACTTTCGTTTCTACGATTGCCTTCGGCATGATCACGGCGGCGGTTCCGATGACATCTGTGGTGGTGCCGAGCAGCATATGCCGTTGCTGGGTTAAGTCCTTTTGAATGGGGAGGTATCTCATCGAAACCTTATGCATTTAAGGAAAGTGTTTACATTTGGTGTATAATATAACTGACAGTCTACCCTGTTACCGCCTAGGACCCTGGTCGCCAACGAACCTGCAACCCCACTTATGTTGTAAGCGCTCAGAACCACGGCATTCCCCCAGCTTCAGTTAAACTACTCTATAGTTAGCAAACTTTTGTACTATAAATAAAGGACAAGAAACGCTCTCCGAACCTCTGAAGAAATTTCTCAAATTTGTTAAATCTCGATCCTCTGAAAATGATTTTTTTAGAGTCGGTAATACTAGACCGATGGCTTCAATATCGTTAAGTGTGCAGATGGAAGAAGGCTAATGTCAAAGGGTCTTATGGAGACATCCTAAGACAGTTACCATGCGGAAATATGTTACACTTGTCTTATATCACCAACCGGTTGAATCTCAATGTGATATGAATTAATTATAGTTTCGTACTATCCACTAAGGAACACGCTGTTACTTCCAGGTAAGACTATCGATAACTTGTATATTTGACATTGTTTATAACGGGTTCAGCTCTATCACAAAAATTCTATATCACATGCTCCCCGACGAAGGAAAACAACGTGAGGAAACCTGTATATTTTCGAAACAATAACAAAAAAATATTTCTTATTCATATATTCTAAGATATGTGAAGTCCGCCAATCCGCAGTGGGGCCGCGAGGTGGACTATGCCGTGATACCTTCTCTATAAAGGAGGCCTTTGCTCGGCAGTGGGACATGTATAGTCTGTTAATTGACTTTACTGTACTTTTATGCGAGTCAAATCTCAACCCTCAATAATCGGAATTTTAAAATTGCGTCTCCAAGAAACCAAAGTTGCAACATATAGTAGAGCACCTTTGTCTTGTTACTTTTGTAAATAATGATATCTTATTTTGACATATGTATTTATGCAAAGGAATAACTGTTTTACTATGCGTAAGTACTTGACCGCCTTATAAGCAGTTCCGCACGAGCGTGATGGAAAACAGTCAATTACTCGCAAACTCTCTAAGCCAAAGCGGTCAGGTGAAGCAGTCGACACAGCACAGATTTGCAACAAGATGAAAACGTAAACAACAATCCCGTGACACCTTGAAATGTGATATCATTCAAATTAAGACGCTATTACAAAATCATCCGAATATAAAGAGTTTCTTAATTCGAATTAAGATTTTGTCTATCTAGGTAGATTGAACTTGTAAATAAGTAAGAAGTTTTGTTAAAACATAGAAAATTAAAACTTGTAGAAAAAGTACGAAGATTGTCGCGCTATAAAACACTTGAAATTTCTAAGAAGTTTTGTGTTTAAAAAAATTTGTAATTTGAATAAAGATTATTCTTATTAAAACTTCGTCAGCAACCGTTAATTTATAAGGAATCTATCTGTCGGAAAAAGCCTAAAGCCTGACAGGTATCATTATTAAAATAGATGGAGAAAGTGACAATGATTTAGATGGAAATAAAGAAGGAGGAAATATTATAAGCCAAAAGAACTTCAAGATTGTGGACGATAAGAACTATGATGTATACGAGGAAGTGGTACAGGCAGAGTCGCGTGGGAAGGGCGATATTAACGATGCTCCGATAAAGATGCAAAAGGCGACGATGTTTTACGAGCGCCGCTGTCGACGATTAATTTGCCAACGCGAAAATTAATATTTAGCGATATCGGAATGTTGTTTGCTTGTCCGACATATTTTATGTGGAGTCGCGTTGATTCCGTATTACTGTGGGGTCCGTGTTTTGTCATTGAATAATTGCCAGATGACAATTGTTGCGGGTGTAGAATAACGTAAGTGAAAACAAGTCTAATACTATATATTATGTTTACGAGAGATATTAACGAGATGAAGAGGTCAAAGATTAATGTTTTGTTCTGGTACACTATAAATAGCTTCAGTTGTCCAAGAAAAGCTAGAGGATTGTTTGCACCTTCGAAAAATAAAATGAATCA